ATTGTAACAATCAAATTTGTTTGTAAATGAGCAAATACATGGGTAGCTAAATTTGTAAACATTTTTCTGCTGCTTTACAATTATTATGAAAAGAATTAGTTTACTGATTTCCTATTTTTAAAATATTTTTGTATCTAAGCAGTTTTTACAAGAAATCTTTACTTAGTTTGGAACTCAATATTCAATTAGAATATCTGTAGCACTAAATACTGGTTTTACTAGTACCTTTTGCTGTGCTTTAAAATAAAACCATGGACATAAAATATAAAATTTAAAAAAAAGGAAAGGTTAGAGACAAAAATATTACTAAATTTAAGTTTCTAGGTGCATAATGAGGAAATCTTGACTTTTCATTGAACATCAGAAATTTTATGGGCTCTATAAATAAACTGCTGCTGGCGCTTTCATCCCAAATGGAACTCAGGGTGCATATATTCTGTTTTCCAGAACAAAGGTGCATAATCAATAGACATGTGGTATGTAGGAAAAGCTCGAGTCAAATAAATATCCAACATCCTGCATTAAAACTGGCAAAGTGCTAACATTTTAAGTTAGTTTCATTTTAGCTAAGTATACAGACTTACTAAGAAAAATGAGAGGTCAATGTAACATAAATACAGATTATTTGTATCCAAGGATATCATTATTAACTAATGGATTGATAAAGAAAATTTTAGCACTTCACTGGTGAAGATTTAAGAAAATAAACTGTATATGAAGAGATTTGATAGAAATATATTTATAAAATTTTAGTAAGATTTATTTCCTTGAGGGAAATGGAGAGATAGTACAGCAGGTAGGGCAATTGGCCACCTAGGTTTGATCCGACATCTCCTCTGTTTCTCTGAGCACTGTCAGGAGTAATTCCTTATTGCAGAGCCAAAAGTAACACCTGAGCACTCCTGGAGTGGCCCCCAAACAAAACAAAACTTAACAAAAAGATTTAACTTCCTTGGGACTTGAAACTTATTCTTTCACATTTTTTTCATTACATTTTATTTTCAGTTAGTGGAGAGATAGCTTAAGGAACAAGTTGGAGTACACAAAAGCATGTGGGAGGCCAGAGTTCAATCCCTGGCACCAAAACATAATTCCCTGAGCACAGCCAAGAGAGAACCCTAAGTACCAAGTCAGGAGTATTCCCCGAGCACTGCCAATGTGCCTCTCCCCCCTCTCCCCAAGTTACTGGTTTATAACATATATGCTATAAAAGTAGAGCATTATAAATCTATATCTCTAAATAGTAGATTATGCTCACCAATGAAGCACTAGGCTTCATCTGCTAGCATACCTTTAATCTCTTTTTACCTGATTTACCCACCTTCTAACTTTTTTTTCTTCTTGTAATGTTTTCTTTTCTTTTTCTTCCTCTCCTTTTTTCCCCTGGTGCATGCACAGTGCTCGAGATAGAACCTAGGATTTCATATACATGCAAAACATGTACTCTACTATTGGGCCACATCCCTGAACCCTAATATTCAGTCTTTAGTCAGGTATAGTCATGTAACATTGAAAAGATAGAAAAAAAAGGAAAGAAAAGAAAAATGGAGACTAGCATGATTAAATATAAGAAAAAAAGCAATGCAAAATTAAAAGGTTTAACAGTAGGGGCCAGGGAGAGAGTATAGTGAACAGGGTGCTTGCCATGCATGTGGCCAACTCCAGTTCAATTTCTGGCACCATATATTGTGCCCCTCAGACCTGCCAGGATCCCTGACCACAGAACAGGAGTAAGTCCTGAATAACACCAGGTGTAGTCCCCCAAACAAACAAAAATTTAAAAAAGTTTCTACCTCTGGAATGACATATAGGTAAAAAGGATAGACTTGAAAACCAATGGAAAGAATTATAAATCCTACTGCCTCTATCTAACACTACACTCTCATAAGGGTGGTTTATCAAAATATTATACAAAAATAATAGGCTCTTAGAAAATTATATCGGTTAGAGACAGCTAGACTTTTTATTATTAATTTACATCAAAATAAATTAGAAGCCAAATTTAAAAAATAGATAAAAAGACCTTCTGAGGAATGATTATACAAAGAGAAAAGTTTTGTGTTTTTAACAGATTTTAAAGTAACAGTATTAAAAGGATGCTTCAAATAGTGCCTTTTCATTTACTCTATTATTAATATATAGAAATATATAAAATAATATATAAAAATGCAATCTATAAAATATATAATTATATATAATATACTATATAAAATATTAATATATTTTCAATAGGTATCTTACGGAAAAATTGCTAAAATCCCTTGACCATGTCAACTGCTTTTAGGGCTTTAAATAATGTCATCCAAATGTTAACAACTCTTAATTTTACTTAGACGTCTGCATTTCATGATCTTATATTATGATCAAACTACTTATACCTCTAAGATATGTTTGGATGCATCTTAGGCAACTTCAAAATGCTCTAAAGAAAATGGCAGTCTTTAACCAAGCCTTCCCATAAACCTGTTCTACTTAGTCTATCCCACCTTTTTCACAAGGTGATTTGATTCTTTCAGTTGCTACATTCAAACACCTTATTCTTGACCTTTCTTTTGCTCATTTCTTAAATCCTATTTGTCAGGAGAGCCTGCTGATTGTATCTGTACAATACACTACCCTCTGAGCACCCAAGAATTTCATGGCTACCAGCCTGGTCTGAGTCAGCACATCTTTCACCTGGGTTACCACAGTAGCCTCTTGCTTCAGCCCCTGACATACTGAGATCTGATTTTAACACAGCTGTGAGAACCATGTTCTTAAGTATTTTCCAAAATAATCTCTTCCTTCTCTCCCTTCCTTTGTGCCAAGAATTGAACCTAGGACTCCACACCTGCAAAATAAGTGTCTAGCACAGACCAAAATTCACAGCTCTTCATGAGGAATCTTTGAAAACATGACTGAGATATGATTTCTCTGCTCATACCAAGGTAACCTGTTTTGTCCACAGTTTAATGGCCTGCAAGGCTCTCAATCACAATCTTCTTTTTTTAATTGTTAAAGGCAGAGTACTATGTTCTTTTATATTAGCTATATTTCTTAATTAACATTCCCTGAATTTACCAAGCAATCTGTTAGAGTGTTTATAATTAGTAGGTCTTCAACATTTTAAGACTGAAAATTTTTTAAGTTGCTTCATTCAAATCCCTTTCCTATTATTCATCTTTGACCCTCTATTCATAATGAATATACATAATTCATGGAATGGACAAGATATACTAAGCAAATAGTTAACCTATAAAGTAATTTGAACAAGAATTATTTTAAGAACAAAATATAAAAACCAAAGCTAACCTTCTGATATATTTTCATAAGAGAACACGTATTTATAAAATGTAATAAAATTTCAATAGCCTTTTAAAATGTTATGTAAAGAAATTAACCAAATAAATGTTTTTACTTTTGAGAAGGACAGTGTATAACTACAATGTGAAATTTGAACTTCAATATGAGGAATAATGATCATTATATATAGCAGGTAGTAAGTATTTCTCAGTTTTGGCATTAAAACATAAGTTTCTCTCTAACATTAATGTATATTCTAAGGAAAATAATTAAGGCCCAAAAGTTAGAGAATTTAAAAAATGCTTTTTCCCCCAAACACCTCAACTCGATCAGCTTTAGTGATGATAAGCCTTTATCAAAAGAAATATATACATGTATTTATTTATAGACATATTATCAGTAATTTTGTCATTTTAATTAAAAAAATAGGAGACTTAATAATAAAGTAATTATTATTACTTAATTCAGACTAACCAATCTTTTTTCTTTTGAGATTTATACCAACCTTTTCTGCTAATGTAACTGAACTATCTGAATAGAATATATAAAAAATACAAAAACCAAAAAACATCTGCTCAAAGGCATAGACGTGTTAAAAAGATTCTGAAGAATTATAGGCAAGCTTCAGGAGAAAGATGGAGGCTAAGGATGATCATTTCTGCTTCGAGGCTCTTTTGCCCCGGAGGTTGTTTGCTTATACGGAGGAGGTGGCAGAAAAGCCAGCAGCATTCTTGAAAGATCTGTGAAAGTGGATTACCGGAATTGGATAGAGGGTCAACTTTTTAAATCCTACTGGAGAGTTGGGATCCTTTAAACTATATTTCACAGAATAAATCAGTAGTAAGCAGGTTCTTACAAAAGCACACTCTTCAGTTCAAATGGAAGAAGCAAATATAAGTCCTATTGATGGAAGTAACATTATCAGAAGCTTCAAAGTATTTTCTATATACAATGCTGCACACGTTTTATGCACAGAAGCTAGCTTGCATTCATACAAACAAATCACACATGAAAGAAAACCAGCAGAGAAAAATGACAAACCACACTAGAAGGTTCTAGACTTGAATATTCCCAGATTTGAAAATGAATAGACCCAGGGCTGGAGCAATAGTACGGCAGGTAGGGTGTTTGCTTTCCAAGTGTGACTGACTCAGGTTCAGTCCCTAAAGTCCCATATGGTTCCCTGAACACTACCTGAATATCCATTATTTATTTTTATTTTATTTTTTGCTTTTTGGGTCACAACTAGTGATGCTCAGGGGTTAATCCTGGCTCTGCACTTAGGAATTACTCCTGGCATTGCTTAGGGGACCATATGGGGTGTCAGGGATTGAGCCCGGGATGGCCATGTGCAAAGCAAATGCCCTACCTGCTGTTTTATCGCTCCAGCCCCAGGACTGTCCATTATTATAGAAAATAAATAGAATAATATTATAGCACAGAGCCAGGAGAAAGTCCTGATCACTGCCTGGGGTGGGACCCCCATGAAAATAAAATAATTCTAAGTTATTTTTTCTAGAGTTATTTAGAACATCAATTTGTACCCAATTTAAGACCTCCATATTTCACAAAATATCCCAACCTATGGAAAAATTAACTATTCACAGGTTGATATATATTGATATATGAAGAGTAGCCATTAGAAATACTATTATTTGCTTAATAAAATAAAATAATAAGTATTGTTATTTGCTTAATAAAATAAAAGCTGTACTTACAAAGAATAGGTTCAACTGGTCTGAGCTGTGGAAAGTTCATAAGAACAGAAACCTCTGGCAGACCATTTTGTTTTGTATGTTCAGTAGTTTGGTCAGCCCAAACTACCACTTTTTTCCTCTCTACTAAATGTTCAATTTCTTTGTAGTCAGTTTCAAAAGCAACATTTGACAGGCCAGCTTCTTTTAAGGTAGAATATTGTTTTCTTAGGGCTGGAAGTAAGGCATTCAAAACTCTAAATTCAGGAGGTAAAAAGAGATACAACTACTTAATTTTAAATACATTATTTTCTGATCAAACAGAAATATTAGCTGACCACTGCATTTACCATATATATTTTTAAGACTGAAAATATATGAGTAGTGATGAGATATAAGACGAACACCTTAGGGTAAATTCCACGAATAGATGTACCTTTAGAATTTTTTATGGATTTATCACACAAAAATAATACATTTTGTGAGGTGCCTATGATGAAATGAGGGCTTCATGGATGCAAAGCGTAAGCTCCATTACAGAAATACATTCCCCATCCCCAAATACTAAATATTTAAAGTAAAACACTTTTAAAACTATAAAGTACTATAAAAATTTTGATAGAGAATAACCACATCTTTCACATACTTTTCAATGTTTTTGATCTCAGCAAGCTTTCTAAGGCTGTTAGACACTGAAAATAATGTGTCTCATCCTATAAAACTCAATTTTTTTCTGGAGTGGTAAAGTGAACTTCTGTGCTTCAGGTGCTTTAGATGTACAGTTTTAAAAAATGCAGAATGGGTATATCATATACTTACGCCTCAGTCTGCCTATGTTGCTGTTCTTGAAGACCAGCCAGATCTATCATATGCTTAATTTGTGTTTTCAAATCTTTGTTCTGGAGGTGCAAATGGTGACAATAAAGATCTTTTTTGAGTTCCTGGGGAGAGTAATGCAAGCCATAGTTCAGATAACTTTTAGAAGAACAGATTCTCAGAGTCTACCCACATAAATGAGATTGATAAATTGGGAAAGGAGAGGAATAGTCAGTTAAAAACGACAATAAAACATCAACTACATCCCCCATTCCCCCAAAATGGCTAACAGTTGTCTTATTAGAGTTCAGTCTTAGAAAAATGAGTTATTAAACATAGCTATACCTTCGAAATATGACCATTCTGATCTATGAGTGACATTTCATTTTCGACACGACAGAGCCAACTAGTATTCTCGTCAAATCGCTTCATTTCTTCCTCTCTTTTGTTTTCTAGGTAGCAGCGACGAGTTTTCAACATTGCAAGTCGATGATCTCGTTTGCAAGTAGCCTGAAAAAGGTTACAGTAGTCAACTAATAATTTTTGATATTGGATGTATGCAATGTCAGTATGCTAATAAAATTTCTAAGTGAGCTTTAATAGTTGATTAAGTTAGACTAGACTTTGTACTTAATGCTATTTCCCCCTTGAAATCTCTCAATACTACTCGTTGCAGGAAAATAGGAAATTGAGTAGTGAGTTATTTTCATAAAATTACATGGTCAAAGCTTATGGCTTTAAGAAATATGATGGTCAAATTAAAGACATAAGTTTTTGTACTAAAACAGTCCTTTAATGCTGCATTTGAAAAGTTCATATAAAGCTTGAAAGTACATGCTTTTGTCAAATTCAATTCAGATATATGTCTTGCTCTTTCATTTCCTTCACTTTGAAAGATTCAAAGAAATAAAATATTAGTCTGGCTTAGCTTTGATTGGCTGGAGCAAATGACAGTAAAAAGCAATTATCAGAGTTCTTATAAACATTTGACATATAATGAATATTCTGATTATTTCAGATGTTTTACATAGTCCTGAACAGAGATCAAAATTGGCTTTTTGGTATCTTAACCTGGGAGTCTTCTGCACACTATTTAGGAATGATGGACCAGAAGAGCATGACCTTTTATTTGCTAATAGACAGTGGTTCTCAATAATTATCAGATGACTGAACCTGAAATGACTGAGATCCAGAGATTCTGGAAGCAGTGAACTAAGTGAACAAGAAAGGATTAGAAACCACATTTAAATTTAAACAAAAAACTCATCTTTAAAAAATATTTTTCTTTCTATATACTTTTTAAGATATATAAGTATTTTGGAAGTAACAAAAAGATTTTTTCCATCTGCATAAAGGATTTGTTATAAAGGATATAAGATCAGGCAAAGGTGACTATCATGAAGTCATAGTCAAATTTTAGAGAGCCAAACTTTTCACTTGATCATTCTTTCAAAGTAAAAAGATGCATAAAGGAGTACTCTCAATTTCAATCTAATCAAGTAGATCAAGAAAAAGTAGTTGATAGGCAGTGACTTCTCACTGATTATTGTGGTTTCTGTGGTTAATTATAATAGCGTAACACTCCTTGTCAAAAGACACTAAGAAAAACAAAACTCAAGTAAAGAGAACAAAGCCCAGACAAGTAAGGAAGATAAAACAAAATTAACCACCAGACTTGTGCTAGGAGGTATTACAGAATGCTATAATGGTACAGGACATTTTAGGGAGTCACAAGACTTTCAGTGGATGGGGGCCAGAGCAATAGTACAGTGGGTAGGGCATTTGCCTTGCACTTGGCTGATCTAGGTTCAATTCCAGCATTCCATATCCCAGATGGTCCCCTGGGCACCACCAAAGTCAGGAGTAACCCCTGAGCATTCCCAGGTATGACCCCAAAAGCAAAACAAAACAAAACAACAACTGCACTGTAGCACTGTCCTCCCATTGTTCATCGATTTTCTCGAGTGGGCCCAGTAACGTCTCCATTGTGAGACTCGTTGTTACTGTGTTTGGCATATCGAAAACCTCACGGGTAGCTTGCCAGGCTTTGCCGTGCGGGCGAGATGCTCTCGGTAGCTTGCCGGGTGCTCTGAGAAGGGCGGAGGAATCGCGGAGGAATTGAACCTGGCTCAGCAGGCCAGTTGTGCGCGAGGCAAACTCCCTACTGCTGTGCTATATTAAAATATTTCATTAATTAAACTCCCAGAAACCCAAAAGGTCCTGAGCAAGAACAAATATAGTTTTATAATTTTAAAATTAAGGTTAATAGTGCATTATACAAAAGAACTGTTAACATGGTGAACTCATGATTTAATTAAAAATCATTTGTAAATTATCTTTATAGAATCACAGAATTGTCCAAAAGATTCACTTTAACTACAAACAAGAGTCCATACTCTAAAATCATTTATAGCTAACTCTGTGTTATGAGAATCTTTTAGCACTTCTGAAAAATAATTTAGCACCTCTTTTGGAAAAGGTCCAAGACAGAAACAAAATTCCTTGTCTGAGCAAGAAGTTTAGTAAGACTATAGTTTGATATTTCTATATGATAAAACAAAACAAAACAATTTCTGGAGGATTTCCAATAGCCTGACTACAACCAATAATAACAAAATTTTTATTACCACTGCTTACCTTGCATAAGAAAAACTAAAAATTGGATCAGTTTTACACTTCCAGACACTGTCCTATAAATATGCTGTTTCAGTCAAATTGATAGGCTACCCAATAGGGTGGTGGTGGTTGGAAATATATATTTTATATTATGTTTTAAAATAATATATATATATATATATATATATATATATATATATATTTGTTTTTGTGTTTGGCCAGACCCTGAGGTGTGATCCTGGCTCTATACTTAGGGATCATTCCTTGGATGCCTGAGGAACCATATGTAGTATAAGAATGGCGATCAACCACTTACAAGGCAAGCAGTGTAAGCCCTATAATTATCTCTCCAGCCTGTACCACTGATACCCTTGTGAAAGATCCACTATAAATCTGGCCCATCCACCACAAAATCTTTTAAAATCATCAAAATTGGAAGCCATGTTTTCTTCTTTGAATAGTTAGTACTTATAGAATGGCAGAATGATTAAGAATAATGCAGGTTATGAAGACAGCTAGAATTTAAAACTGGGTTTAAAACATTATTAGGTATTTAAGTCCAGACAACTTATTGAGTTCTCAGTGTCTGTTTCTCAGAAATGGTGGCGATACAGATCAGTATCATTACAATTATTTAACAAATTATAATGGATGCACAAGGATTTTGAAAAGAATCTGGCACAAAATGCTCAATAATATTAGCTGTTTGTATTACTGAATTGTTGCTTATATGACACTATAGTGTTTGGTTTATGCATATTTTAATGTAAGAACTTGAAGGGTATGTGTTTTTTTTAAATTTTTTTTTTTACCTCCATAGGTACCTTCAAATCTTATTATCTCTAGCACACGGCTTTGCACATAAATGAAAATGTTAGATACAATCTTTAAAAATCTGATATACAAAGTACGTACCAAGATTACAATGACTAAAGATTTTGCATTAACGAAGTCAGATAGCTGCATATTCAGGTAACCGATGTTTACTTAACGAATGCTGACATAAAACTGTAAAGAGTTTTTTCAAAGTATTGGATTTGTTGGCCACACAGAAACTGACAATATATAAAGCACCAATAACTGATATAAAAGATACAGTTTTTAAAACATATATAGCACTATTTCAGAATTCCATTTAGTAAATATACAAAAGGGTTCAAAGAAACAAACTATAGAATTTTGCCAGTAATATTAATAATGTTTTTAATTTACAAATAACAGATTAGCTATATTATATAAGTTTAAGAAAGTTAAAGTACAGAGCTGGAGAGAGCACAGCAGGTAGGGAACTTGCCTTGTAGGCGCCAACTAGGGTTCAGTCCCTGGCATCCCATAGGTCTCCTGAACCCTGCCAGGAGTTATCCCTAAGCAGAGGCACAAATAAGACCAGAGCAGAGCAGAGCAAGGTGAGACCCTTAAACAAATCCCCACCCCAAATGGAGAAAAGAAAGTTAAAGTACAGGGGCCTGGGAGAAAAGTTTAACAGTGCATCCTCTGAATAAGGGAGGCTAAGACTGATTTCCAGCACCACGCAGTCTGCTGAGCACAATCAGGAGTGAATCACAAGCAGTGAGTGTGCAATACTGGTTGCACTCCTCAAATCAAAAGCAAACAACCAGAAAAGCAGTATGTCTCAAAGATAGCAACTTGCTTTTTCCCCTCTGTCTTAAAATGACAAGGACATTTTAAATGCACTTTAAAATACATAATTAAGGGGTTGGAGCAATAGCATAGCGGGTAGGGCGTTTGCCTTGCAAACGGCTGGCTTAGGTTCAATTCCCAGAAACCCATATGGTTCCCCATGTACCACCAGAGTAATTCCTGAGTGCATGAGCCAGGAGTAACCCCTGTGCTTAGCCGGATGTGACCCCCCCAAAAAAAGGAGAGAGAAAAAACAAAGAAAGAAAATATATAATTAAAAGGGAGCTTTTAGTATTCAATATAGTATATGAACTAGTGTACCTAAATCAAGTAGATCTCTAGTACTGATCTAGCAGTTACTGAGACCTAATACCTTTTGACAAAAAAGGTCCCTGCTATGCCTCCCCCACAATTCTTAGCAATTATTCTCCTATTTCTGAATTTTACTTATTAGTTTCTCAAAAAGCATCACACAGAATTCTAGATTCTCCTCTCTCTCCGGCTTACTTCACTGAGCACTTCCTCAGGTTAATCTTTGTTCTTGCAAAATAACAACAAAGATTAAAATTTTCATCTTTAAAACGTTGAACAGGGGGACAGAAATAGTATAGTGGGTAGGGTATTTGCCATACATGTGGCCGACCTTGGTTCTATCCCCAGCATGTCATATGGTCTGAGTCTGCCAGGAGTGACACTTGAAGGCAGATGTGTGTGGTCACAAACATACAAAAAAAGTTGAACAATATTGCATTTTGCCTACTCAAAAACTGTTAATAATTCAGATCTGATTTTAAGCACTTTCATTAAAATAACAGTAACAAGAAATAAGAAGGATGAAGAAAACTTTCAAAGCACTGGATAATTTTATGGCATATGGACCGACGGTTCATGAGAATTAATTTCCAATACCGTAACACTGCATATACTAAATATATAAGATCACCTTCTGGTTTACCAATTATATTCCAAATGTTTTATTTAAAAAGAAATTTTTAATAAGCCACAATAACATAATCAAACTAATAACTTTTTTTGTTTTATCTTTGGGCCACAACCAGTGGTACTCAGGGCTTACTGCTGGCTTTGTGCTTAGGGATCACATTTTGTGGGCTTGGGGGACCATACGGGTGTCAAGGATTGAACTTGGGTAGGCCACGTGCAAGGCAAACAGCATACCCACTGTACTATTGCTCCAGTCCCTCAAATAAATTACTAAGTATAATAGTTTAAATAGGTACTGATAAACTGATATCAATGACACAAGGATAAATACTTCATGATCAATTTCCAAGGGTAGCACCATTCTCCCATTGTATAGCCTGAGAAAAAATGGAAATGGTACTGCTTTGAATACAATCTATTTAAAAAATAATTTCTTTTTTGGGGAGGGGATGGAGTGAGGTGGGGAGGGGGAATATGTGTTTGGGCCATACACATTGGTACTCAAAGCGGTGGATGAAACTGGAGTCAGCTGCATGCAAGGCAAGTATCTTAACCCCTGTATATTTCTCTGGCTCTTAGAATACTCTTGAAGATGAGGGACCAGAGAGATTGTTACAGGGGTTAAGGTGTTTTCCTTGCTTGCTGCAGATCCTGGTTCATTCTCCAGCATTATATACAGTCTACCAAGCACTACCAAGAGTGATCCCTGAGCACAAAGCCAAGAATAAGTTCTAACCAACGCTTAGGTGTGCCTCCAAACAATTAACGCCCCACCACTGCCTCCCACCTGACCCCTGCAAAAGAAACCCTTGATGCTCTCAGACACCAAAAATGCTTAACAGTTTTATAAATAATCATTACTTCTGAGAAGAGTGGAATGAAACATGTAGGAAGTAATAATCTAAAAGAACCAGAAAATTACTATAACATGGAGAAAAACTGGCCAAGATACATAAGATAATTAAACTTATCATTAATAAACACTACAACTAGGGGAGATATTTATCCAATATTTTCAGCTGCTTATTTTTATGTTCACTGGTAATCTTCATTTCTTCCACCATTTTCACATTTGTAGAGAACAAGTAACTATGAAACCCTGCTACCAAATTTCTAGAATCAGAAATACACGCATATTTATTCTCTAAAATTGAGTTACACATCTGTTAAAATACCTTTTCTACTTTGTCTTCTGAACACATCATTTCTATCTGCTTGTGGCACTGTTGTTGATAGAATGATTTAAGCTCATTTTCTTTAAGTAACATTTCCAACTTCAGATATTCTTGCCTGATTTCTTCTCGATTTTGGAACAAGCAGTTAAGAATTTCTTGAAATCTACCAAAAAACGAATAGAAGCTAATTTTGTTGTACAGAATTTAAAGAAATGCAGAAACAAAAGAATATATGCCACTCACAGTGTTAGATTAAATGAAGAACACCGGTAGGTTAGTGATTTTCTGATAAAAGTACAAAACTGTAAATGATATCAACTTAATTTTTACCCCACTGGATTTCTCTTTCTACTCTCCCAGGAAAATGAAAATAGGTATAATAAACTTCGGGTATTAGTCATACACTGTATTTTGTTTATGCAACGCAGGTGCTTAGCAAATATGTATGTGTATATATATTCATATATATGTAATTTCTATACTATTTCTCTGGCCATATACATATATATACATATGTATATGGCCAGAGAAATAGTATAGAATTTGTTAAGGTGTTTGTCTTGCATCCCACCAGTCCAATGTTAGGTTTGAATTCCTAACATCGCACATGGTCCTCTGAGCACTGCCATGGATCACTTCTGAGCACAGCTGGGTGTGGTCTGGTCCTATCATTCACCAATTTTATGTTTTCAAGAAATGGCTGATAATTTGGATTTGTACTCTGTTAACTCACAAGGCCTCATGAGCTAAGGGTATTGTGTATTATTCTGGTATTCTGGCTCACTATGAAGATGCAAGTGGTAGGGGATAATCAAATGGTATCCACCTGGCACACTAGGGAAAAGATTGGCTAAACAAGCCACTCTCTTTCTTCCAAATAAGAGAACAGAAGATTTAGAGAATATAAGTTGGGGGGTTTTGATTCAGACCTTTTCCAGTGTAAAGACCTCATCAACTGAATAACTCTTACAAAGACCTAAGAGAAACTTGTAATCCTGTATCCTTGAGGATCAGCAGAAATTTCGTCACAGCAATGTTCTAATTTTATACAAATACCTTTGTATTTTTAAATCACTGACCACATCTGAGCTAGTAATAGTATAAACACATCACATATGGACCTAACTCTCAAAGAAAAACTAACTGTAAAGCCTTTAAAATAAATGTGTAAGAAAGTGTGTGCATTTAAAAATAAATGTTCCTTGGCCATACTTTATATATATTTGTAAGGATCTGTGGTTTAAAAACACTGCCAATTTACGTCAGTAGTTCTTAATGAAACTCTACTGGGAATGAATATAAGCCACAATACATTGACTTTAATGCAGTTTTTATCAAACTGATAAATATTTCATAGGAAATATATACGGACATTGCAACTTCATTGTATTATATTACAACAATGCTAATGCCAGTAAATGAATTGACAAGTTATCTTTAGGTTATACTTAAAGATAATTCCTTTAGTTTTTTGGTAACATTTTACATAAGGTCATAAATATTTGTCAATTTTCTAATTTTGTGGTCAGACATATTTTAGATGGTAGTCTTTCATGACCAGTGATTAGTATGAAAGGATGGAATTAATATAAACAGCATCTAAAGACCTCCTTCTAAAAAAGCTATCTCCAGCAGAAAGAGTTCAAAGGGAATAACTAATAAATATCTCTTTATTAAACAAATAACTAGAAAGCAAAAATCTGCACTATTAATCTCATATGCAAAATAAAGAATACTGAACTATAAAAATTTCCTAGTCACAATGAAGTTTTATATTTACTTCATATAAAAACTGCGCTCCTAATTTTTGAAAACTATTTTAAAAAAGCTTTGACAGAAAGAAAATACTGCTAATTACTTCCTTTATATGTAAAACTTTTGTAAAAAGACTGAAAATTTACAGTATTCAATAAGTTTAGGTGTATGATGGCCATGACAGAAGACATTCCGTTTCCTTGAGAAGATACTACTTTTTTAAAGAATTAGAAAAAGCACAGGGGCTGAAGTGGTAGCACTGTGGGTAGGGCACTTGCCTTGCATGCGGCCGACCCAGGTTTGATTCCCAGCATCCCATACGGTCCCCCGAGCAACGCCAGGAGTAATTCCCAAGTCCATGAACCAGGAGTAACCTCTGTGCATCGCTGGGTATGACCACCCCCCAAAAGAAAAAGAGTACAGGGTATATAAATGTATCATAACCTTATTCATAAATGCAAGCAAATTGTTTAACATTTAGAATTAAAAACTAAAAAAATTAACTGTTCTTTAAGTACAAATGTAAAAAATGTCTAAATAAATGCTTATTGATTTAGACCAGAATTTCTCAACCAAGGGCATATGAATACCTGTGGAGTCCTACGCTATACCAACGGGGCCACAGGAGAAAACTGCATAAAAGGGAGCCACTGGCAAGAGGATAGGGAGTCACCGGGAAGGAGGGGCAACAGATTGGAAGGGGCCATGGTTGGAGAAACACCGAGAAACACTCGTCTACACATCTTCCTCTTGACATTTTTACTAGCAGGAAAGATGATGAAGTCATCAATTTTGGAAAAGTCTAGTAACTTGAAAGGTATTGTAGCTAAATCTGGTTAAGAATTGCTGAGCAATTTAATATGAACAATGATGCAAAATTTGAAAAGCTGGTGACTTCTTTAATTTTCAAGAAATATTCATCAATAAACAGCACATTGTGTGAGGACCACTCCCATATTTAACTATCAAAATGAAATTATAACAAACTAGCAATATATCAGTCTGAAGCTTTCTTTGCTAAAATTAAATAAGCAACAAGAAAAACATTGACTTTTTTTATTTTGAAAAAACTTGTAAAATTGGTGGAATATGTTATAAAATATCTTAAGACTAGAACAAGTCTTGTTACTTCCTGTATTAGAAATTAGCATGCTCCGGGAGTACAAGGATTTCTATTTCTAAGATATAATTTATAGAATTTGCTTTTATCTGAGAGAAAATTGTACCTCACTTTAATTTCACTGAGTTGTAGGGATCAGATGAAATATATGCCTACAAAGAATCGAAAACTAAAAAGTCATTTATAAAAGTGGTGTCATTATTATTAGAAGTGGCATATTAGAATCGCATATTAGAATATACAGAATAGCAGGGACCAATAAGGCAGAAGAAAATTTACATTTTTCAAATTAAGCATATCTTATATAAATTTTTTTGTCAGCCTTTTGGCTACATCTGACCTCTGGGGATACTCCCAGCTGTGCTCCAAGGTTGGTTCTGGCAATATTCAGGAAGCTCATGATACGGTTGGTTCTACAGCATGCAAAACATGTGCTCAGTCTGTTTACCTTTCTGGCCATTTAATGTAATCTTTAACATATAAGTACAGTTTATAAAGGCACTGTACTGAAACCTGGCTAAAAAGTCACAGTTGATCAATCTTTTTTATGACCACCCAAACATGGGCAAACTCAAGAATTCCAATACAGTGTTGATAATCCATGGTATAAATTGTGATGTTTGTCATAGTAATGATTAATAGAAATTTGACTCTGGATAATATAAAATAAATTTACACTTGGAAATCCTTTTTAGTTTCAGTAATCTTTTTAAAAAAATCCTTTTTTACTCCAAATTTATTCATTTTGTACATAACATGTTAAAATGTTTATAATTTCAGTAAAGAAATCTATACCACAGTGATGCTTAAAAGTAAAAATTTAAATTGATATTCTATGAATATTATAGATGGATATATATAAAGATTAGAAAATGTTAAATGCTCTTAATTCAAGTGTGTATTGAACTTAGACTGCTCTGTATGTCAAAAGGTTCATGCCTACACAGGAGTACATTTGTTACAAAATTCAAATGTCTGTCTATATGCTATGAATTTATTATAATATCCTCTAAAGTTCTTTTGGCAAGCTAAGGATGTATACCAAAATCAAACATATTTGGACTGTAGTTAATTTTCTCCCCTAAGGACACAATTACATTATATTAAAAAAAAAACATTTTTGTGGATTCTTGGTCACTGCTGGCAGTGCTTAGGTGACTTGGTTCCTGCAAGCGAAGTATGTATATCTACCCTTTAAGTTATTTCACCAGTCTAGCAGACATTATTTATTTATTTTGCTTTTTTTGGGTCACACTCGGCGGATGCACAGGGGTTACTCCTGACTCATGCACTCAGGGACTACTCCTGGTGGTGCTCAGGGGATCACATGGGATGCTGGAATTGAACTCGGGTTGGCTGCATGCAAGGCAAACGCCCTACCCACTGTGTTATCACTCCAGCCTCCTGGCAGACACTATTTTAAAGCCTGATCACTTAATTTTTCTGAAATTTTATTATTTTTTTAACTGAACCACAGTGAGACTCAGTTACAAAGTTGTTCATGATTATGTATGAGTCATATAATATTCCAACATCTGAGCCTTCACCAGTGTACATTTCCTACCACCAATGTCCCCAGTTTCCTTCCTGTCCCCACCCCCACTCCCCACCTCAATGGCAGACACCTCTCTCTCTTTCTCTCTCTCTCTCTCTCTCTCTCTCTCTCTCTCTCTCTCTCTCTCTCTCTCTCTCCCCTAAAACATGATCAGTTTAAACTGCAATTTGAACTGGAGATTTCTGTGAATCTGCCATTGAACTATGACAATTTAGAGAGCTGCAGGAATACAGTAATTATCAATTTTTATTATCACATAATTTGGACACCTGCAGAATCATCCTCTCCATTATAAGTACTTCATCAATTATAATATTAGCACAAAGAAAAACTCCAAGCTAGTGAAAGAAAATCTTGCCATAAATGAATTTATAAATCTAACAAAGATTCAGAAATTAAAATGTTTTTAAAATAATTATTGCTTTAAAAAAAAATTTATTGCCACACCTGGCAGTGCTCAGTGACTACTTCTTTCTAGCTTAGTGCACAGAGGTCATTCCTGGCAATGCTTGGGGGAATTTGCCGAAGACCAAAATCCAGGCAATGTGCATGATAGTCTGCTGAGCTATCTTTCAGGCCCAATAATTAAAATTGTTAACAAAGGAATGCAGAATAATGAAATGAAGTTGGTTTCTTACTTACACATATTTCATAAAATAAATTATATAAAGAGAAAACTGCAACCTAAGGTAAGCTACAAGCACTAATATAGGGGCTGGAGTGACAGAACAGAGGGAACGTGCTTGCTTTGCATGGAGGTGACATAGGTTCAATTCCAGGCACCCCATAAGGTCCTCTGAGCACACCCGGAGTGATCCCTAAGTACAGGGGAAGCAGCAAGCTCTGAGCTGGGTGTGGCTCAAAAACCAACAAATAAATAGCAGTGTAGCACTGTCTTCCCATTGTTCATCGATTTGCTCAAGTAGGCATCAGTAACGTCTCAACAAATTGTGAGACTTTTTGGTTAATGTTTTTTTGGCACATTGAATATGTCACCGGTAGCTTGCCAGGCTTTGCCGTGCAGGCGAGATACTCTTGGTAGCTTGCCGGGCTCTCTGAGAGGAGCGGAAGAATCGAATCCAGGTCGACCTTATGCAAGGAAACACCTTATCCGTTGTGCTTTCGCTCCAGCCCAACAAATAAATAAAAAAATAGCATTACTGATATATTTCTAATCTAAGAATCTACATACCATAAAAGCAGGTGGTGAGAGACAGGGCACAGCTTGAGCTGGCCCTAAGTTCAATTCCTGGCACCTCATACTGCTCCCCATCTCCCCAGCACAACTTGACTCCGCTCAGCATAGCTGGGCTCTCTATCACTGAACTCTCCAGTCCACTGCCCAAACCATTGGGAGAGGCCCATGAGTCCTCTGAGCAATACTTGGGATTCCGTACCCCAACCCAACCCTCTGCCAAAAAAATAAAACAAATCATAAAGAAAATAGGGAGAGATGGAAGGAGGAACAAAATATGGATGCAAAAGACTAGACACTAGCAGGTTATATGTGGTTACAGGAGCGATAGCACAGTGGTAGGGCATTTGCCTTGCATAGGGGCCACCAAGCCATACCGAGTTCAAATCCTCAGCCAATCTCGGAGAGCCTAGCAAGCTATTGAGAGTATTTTGCCCGCATGGTAGAGCCTGGCAAACTATCCGTGATGTATTTATTCGATATGCCAAACACAGTAACAACAAGTCTCACAATGATTGAGACAAATTACTGGGACCGCTCGAGCAAATTGATGAACAATGGGAGGACAGTGCTACTTACTGCGCTACTACTAAATATATATATATAATATATATATGTTTTTTTATATATAAAAACGTTCATGAGTATGGTAATCAAAATTTCTTAATTTCTTTACTGCATAGAGGCTTTCAAAATTCTAGTGGGCTAATGTACTATGAAAATCTCATGTTCTTTACGTGAAAGATTTCCAAACATGTTTCTTCCAGAAATTCTTTTGAATCTTCTTTGAACTAGACAATACTCACAGCTCCTGATCTTGGACAATTTGGAAAACTGTACTATTTACTTAGGGGAAAAAAACCCTTTACTTTTGAGAATTGTACTATTTATTATCTCTTACTCATCTTTCAAATTTTGCTATTAAGAAATGTAGTGGTGACTATCAAAGTAAAAAATTTGGGTTCCTATCAAAATTTTGCATCAACTTACATTGCTGAGATGCGTGTTCAAATAACTGCCTAAACCACAATGCCCCAAAGTGGGGTTGGGACGATACAGATGGAGGAGAGAGAGAGAAAGAGGAGAGAGAAAGGGAGGGAGGGAGAGAGGAAGAGAGGGAGAGAGAGGGAGAGAGACAGAAGTGCCCCTGCCATAGAAAAATATACAATGGTGAAGGAAAGAGTGCTGGAACACTGTATGACTGAAACACAATCGTGAACAACTTTGGAACTATGTATCTCATGGTGATTCAATGAAAAGAATTAAAAAAAAAGTAATTTCTATTTAAAGTCAATTGAGAATTGTAAAGAATTTGATATAGATCAACTAGACGAATATAAATAAAGATGTCACATGTGTATACTTAAAAGTTTTTGTACCCTCTAGTTTTTATCTTGAAACCCAAAGACATAGTAGTCAGAGGTGGGGGGAGAGATGTCACTGGAAGATGATTAGATCAGAAGGCTGAAGACCCCCTAGTCGGGTTAGGGCACTTACAAAAGCAGGGGCTCAAAAGACATATCCACCTACTTCTATTAATGAGGATACAAAGAAGTCTATAATCAGACCAAGCTGGCATCTGTGGTGGGGGGTTTCTGATCTCTATACTGCCCAGTCTGTTACAGTGTGTGTGGTTGGGTGTGATGTGAGTTTTTTGATTTTGGCTAATTTCAAAGGAGCTCAGGGGTCACTTCCAAAAATGCTCAGAGACCATATAGTTGAAATTGGGTCTCCTGCATGTCTTGCAGACCACTCAGCCATCTGTCTGGTCCTTGTATTTTTATATTTTTTTGTGGAAGAGAAGACATTCATGCCATACCTAGTGGTGCTCAGGGCTTACTCCTGACTCTACTTAGGATCATCTGTGATGCTTGTGGGATCATTTGCTTTTTGGTTAAACTGCGGTCAGTCACATGCAGGCAAGACAAGTGCCTTAAGCACTGTACTATCACTCCAGCCACTGTGAAATTTTCTTAGAGTAGATTGAGTGGACAAAGATAACTACTAAACATTAACTATGTAGTGATATAATTGGCTTTACCCATTCCATATTCAACCCGAGTACTATTTCTCCTTAGTGTTTGTATAATTACAACAATGATCTGATTTCCAAAGTGTGAAATAAAAAGAGCAACCAGTTGAATTTCTGAATTCAACTGAGCACATATATAGACACCCCACAAATGATGATAAAATATCTTACTACATTAAGAACTAAAAATTCTTCAAAGTAAAATCTGTCAAATTTACCTTTCAATTTCTTTTTGCTGAGGGTTTGAAATCATTAACTTTGCTTTATTGTCATCAGTAAATGCTTGCTGTTCTTCATAGATCCTTAGTTTTTCCTTTAACATTAAAATCTAGTGGAGAGAAACACTAGTTAAAATACAAGTTATTTTCTCCATTGTACATGGCTACAACAAAACTTGAGTGTGAAAAGTAACTGAAAACAACACATTTTAACTGTAACAAGGAAACAAAATTACAGAATCTCATAAATAAAGAAGGTAGACATTAGCATGACAATGTAATGAGAAGACATACCTCTTGTTTCTGCTCATTACAGATCTTTAAATATTGAGTTATATGATTGTTGAGGTTAAGAACATTGCTCTTCACCTATTAAATGAATCACAATTTGACAAAATCAGGTGACATTCACGAACAATTATAATCACATTTAAAATCTGACAAGAGAATTGTTAAATTCAGTAAACTACAAATAAATCATAAAGAAACTGCCTTACTAGTTGAGCAAAAGCACACAGATTTTGCAAAGCATTTATTCCTAATATAATAAAAATTGTCTACTTTCTTTTTCCTGTGACTACTAAGAAATTCAGAAATAATTTCAGCTACACCTGTCATTGGAACTAATTAAAAAATTAAAGTCATTCAATTTTATTATTCTTGTCAACAATATAATAGTAGAGAAAAGATTAAATTAAAGTTCAGATACATAATTTCAAGGTCTTAACTATTTCTCACTTACATCACTTAAAATTGTGCACTTAACACTTTTCAACAGTAAACTACGGCTAAGAACTATGCCCTCAATGCATTGGAATAAGAATAACATGGCAAAAATGTGTGAAAAATGTACAAAGGTTTTTTTAATACCCAGATGTTACATTCTTTCTCAACTATTTATATAAATAGCATATGAACATTTCTCTATGAAAGATAGCAAATAGCAAATCTTCATAAAATGGAAGTAACAAACTGGTAACTGGGGAGAGAGAAGTTATCAGATAAACATTAGGTTTATGATTAACCCTCAGATCCTGTGACTTTATACATAAATCTTGTCTGAATAATATTACTTTCAAACTATCTTAAGTTATTGGCAAAAATCCTGATCCAGACATTCATTATATATTGATGGAACTATATACAGACTGCAAGAAGAAATAAATTATTGTAATGGTTCTAATTTTTTATGAGAATTATAGGAATAATGTGCACCCATTGCCTTACAAGATAGGTAGAATAAACACACTTACAGAAGATTTAATGTCCTTTGCACGGTTAGCATACTTGAGAGTGTTATATGTGTCATCGTAGAACACAGAGGAAGGACTAACAGCAGCTATCATTATAGTTTGACAGTTTCCTCCGAGAGAATCCTTTAACAAGCGAGTAAGCTTACTATTTCTGTATGGAATATGCTGATTCTTCCTCTGAAAAAACAAAAAAAGAATTCTTATGTCATTTTCCACATTTAAATGCAAACTCTTACCAATTCACTAGAAGAACTGAAGCTTTACCCGACTATATACATTCTAACTGGTAATTGAAATGACAATAATGAATCTAATGGGCCTAGTCAATGAACATACTAAACATATTACCCACTTAAAACATCTGAAAAAGTATAAATGCTAGCTATGATAATATACAAATATTAAATTGTGATAGGTATACCATGCTAAAGAGATATTACCAATAGAAGATAGAAGTATATGATCTAACAAAATCTGTATTATTTTCAAACTTTACCTAAAACCATTCAAAACCAAAATGTCAATATATTTTATTCATTTTAAAAGACATTAAAATACAAGATTAAATGAGCATGTGTCCTGCACAAATGTTAAAATAATGAAACTTCTGTATGACAAAGAAGTATCCCCCCCCCGAATAAACATCGAGCACAGATAAAAAATTAGAATTACCATTATTCAGATATTTCATCTGAAAACCTAATAGTTCTGAAAAACACCTAATTTTTCAAGACTGGAGAGAAAGCCCAATGGGATGAGTACATGCTTTCTTTGAAAGAAGAGTTCTAGGTTCAATCCTACCCCCTCATGAATCCCCAGAACCGTAGGGAGTGAGCACACCATTCCCTAAGCACTGAACCAGAATAGGCCCTGAGTACTAAGGGGTATGTTCCCCAAACTACAAAATACAAAAAACAAAACAAAATAGTAACAGTATTATTCTTCACAATTTAGCAGACTTTAGCAAAAGCGATTTTATATCTATCTACAAGACATGCATTAAATACTGACTTATAATAACCTAATAGGCATCATTTATTGAAAAATTTAGATGTGGACAAGTCTTAAGTTTAAGTTTAGAACACTTGTTTCTAATCCATGCTATCTTCTTTCGTGTCTAAGATTTTTATTTATAAGATATCTTGCTTTTGTAATCTTAATACAATTCTAGTAACTTGCCTTAAAAAAAAAAAAAGACTCTCAGGCAAGTGGATAGGGAGCTTGCATTGCACGCTGTCAGCCCTGGTTCAATCTTTGGACCTCAAGTTTGCCAGGAATGATCACTGCACTCAGATCCAGAATTAAGTCCAGAGCACAGCCTGTTTTGCCCTCTATGCCCCTATTCCCTTCCTGCCCCCAAAATGTTGGTTTTTTTTGGGGTCGGAGCGATAGTATAGAAGGTGAAGTGTTTGCCTTGGATGTAGCTGACAAGGGACTGATCCCTATCATTCTATAGAGTCCCCTGAGCACTACCAGTAAGTAATTTCTGAGTGCAGAGCCCGGAGTAAAACCCAGAGCATCACAGGTTGTGACCCAAAAAGGCAACAAGTAAATAAATACTAAGTAAAAATAAAAAAAAGACCCTCCAACCATATTCATATACTTTACAAAAGCAAAGTGCAAAATTCTGAAGTTAGCAATAATTACCCTAAAGCTTCTGAGTCTGGTTTGAATTTAAATTATAATATTTTTAAGTTAAAATCAAGAAGTGAGCTTTAAGACACAGAAACTGTCATCCTATGCTTTTCTGATATATAGCAGATAAAAACAAGTTTATATGTCACCAAAATATCTCATAAACATTATTCTACCAGGTGATTCATTTATATATATTTTTTCTTTTTGCTTTTTGGGTCACAGCCAGTGATGCTCAGGGGTTATTCCTGGCTCTGCACTCAGGAATCACTCCTGGCAGTGCTCAGAGAACAATATGGGATGCTGGGAATTGAACTTGGGTTGGCCAAGTGCAAGGCAAATGCCCTACCTGCTGTACTCCATTTCCACCCTTTAGTATTTAATCCAATTTCTAGTACAAAAAATAATGACCTTTAAAAAACTTTTGTCTTCAAGTCAATTTACCATGACTGCTTTGATCATTAAGCACTCATTATAAAATGAAGTGCTGTTGTAAATAGCTGTTGAGAAAAGATCATAACATATTGGAACTGTCAATATGATATTCATTGCTTCCATTCAATAAACCCCAATGATATCATCAGAAATTTAAAAAGTAGAAAATGCCATACTTTGACTTGATAAAATATTCTGCTAAGGATACCACTGACACCTTTTAAATTTTTTTTTGTTTATTTGTTTTTGGGGGTCACACCCAGCGATGCACAGGGATTACTCCTGGTTCATGCACTCAGGAATTACTCCTGGCCGTGCTTGGGGGACCATATGGGATGCTGGGAATCGAACCCGGGTCGGCTGTGTGCAAGGCAAACGCCCTACCTGCTGTGCTATCACTCCAGCCCCTTAAAATCTTTTTTAAAGGTCCTTAATAGACCTTCAAAACAGAATTATTTTCAGTAGTGTCTTTCTAGGAATTATAACTATTTTAAAATATTATAGCATATAAGTATACAATACATACCTTCGAATCTGCTAAGGCATTGATGACGTTCCCAAGAGCTAAAAGTGATCGATTGATATTTGTGCCTTCTATAAAGCGGGTCCCTTTAGTATTGGCAGTACTGGCTCTCTCAGACCCTGCCAAGTCAATGAGTGACATCTTGGCTATACGGATATTTTGATTTATGCTTGCTGTTTTATCTTGCTGTCGCAAATAAATCTTTTTGAAATTATAAGAGAATAGAAAAAAATGAGGAAGATCAAACAAAATTAAAAAGAATATAAAACTTACATTTAAAAGACCCAAAATTAAAATGTTTCATTTTATACTTGTAAAGGGGCCACACCAAGTACTCAGAGTCCTGCTATGCTGGAGTTTGAACTCAGTGACTCACATGTTAGGTTTGTGTGCTACCACTTGCCTAATGTGTGAAGTCTGGATTCAGTCCTGATATCTCCCAATGGACATACAATATGAGCATTACCAAACCTTCATGTTCATCTCCAAGGTGGTGGGGTTGGGCCCTTTAATACAATGGTAACCTGAGCAACGTTTATTCTGACTCATATTCAAGAGTAGTAGCAGAAGTAATTACCAATGTTGAGCAAAATTTTAAATGAAAAAAATTCCCACATATGAGCTAGAGGGTAAGTCACTAGCTCCCATGGAAGGTCAAGAAGCTATTATTAATATTCTCATAACCCTTGAACCAGAATACGGAATCATCAAAGGTAATGGTAGGGCATGAATAGTTTCTCTAGAAATAACGTTTCTGAGAAAAAACAAAGGCAGTGGTCACAATGCTCTACATCTCTGTAGCGAGTGGGCTGTTCCCAAAGGAAAACCGAATGTTAATGTTGCACTAAAGAATAGATTCTTTCTGATTCCAAAACTGTTGTATCATTGTAATATAATACCATAAAAATAAAAATAAACTTTCATTTACTACCTGTCATGTTCAACAGTTCAGCAAAGCACAGTATAGTTAGATATTTCCAACTACTTTGTATCAGTTTAATGAAAACAAAGTTTTAAAAGCCAAGTTAACATTTCATTATTAAAACTGTCACCTTTAAAGTTTATTTTGGAAATATCTCTATAAATGCGGCTCTATTAAAGCAAATTTCTAGTGCCATCTATAGATTTTTAATACTGTGTTTTATATAAAATGAAAATAAATTTGGGAAATAAAAAAATTACATCCTTCCCACATGTCTAAGAAAAACATTAATTCACTTGAAAATAGAACTGATTGCTCAAAAATGTAAATTATGATTTTTTTTTGGGGGGGGGGGGGGGAGAGAGGCACATCTGGTGCTGCTCAGGAAACCATTCGTGATACCAGGGGTCAAACCTGGGCTGGTCATGTGCAAGGCAAATGCTTTACCTACTGGCTTACCACTCTAGCCATAAAGATCATTTTTGGATCTAAAACTTGATAACTTTAGAACTATATCTTCTTTTTAAAAGTTGATTTATCACAAAAGGAGAAAATATTCCCTATTCAATTATTCTTCATGCTTTCAAAGCACAGTGATAGGGAAACGGGGATCTGATAAAAAGCAGCATTCCTTTCCCATTTCGGCCATGGCCTTGAGTTTCTGATGATAGTAGGCAAAAATCCCCTAAGAAAAATACTGTAAACTGGCAGTGATCTCTCACTAAAATTAAGCCGGGTGATCAGTTAGCTCTGGAACAGAACCTGAGTCAAATCAGCATAAACCAACATTCTAATGTTGTATGTTCATATACAAAATGTAAAAGCAAATTCCAAAGACAAAAATCAAAAAATTTATGGTTCTAAAACTTGCTAAAATGAACAAAAATGTAAATTTTCCTAATATGTATTTTATAAATTTTATAATTTTAGACTTTGGAGCCACAAGCTTAGCTCCTAAGTCATTGTGTGGGTTATTAAATAGTTTTAGTAAAGCTAATCAGACTTACTTTGAAGAAATAATATTCTCTCTGATGGTGGAAATAAAGGGAAATAACTATTTCAAAGAATGTTTGTTGCTTTCACGAAAAGTTTTTCTAGTGTATGAAGTCTCAAGGTTCTCTGGAGAACCCAGCAGGCTGCCAAAAATATCCTGCCCGCACGGCAGAGTCTGGCAAACTCCCCACGGCGTGGTCAATATGCCAAAAACCAGTAACAATGATGGCTCTCATTCCCCTGACCCTGAAAAAGCCACGAATGTGGCATTTTCTAAAATCTCAGAGCAATGATGCAGGAGACGTTACTGGTGCCTGCTTGAGGAAATCGATGAACAACAGGAAGTCAGTGATACAGTGATATCAAAACTGTGAATTTAGCACTGACAAAGAACATAAAGGTTAAGATTCTTGTCTTGAATGCAGTGGGCCCCAGTACCAACCCTGGCCACAACATGGTTTCCCAAGTACTGCTGGGAACAAACCCATACATAGTTGGGAGGAGTTCCCAAACACTATCAGGACCAACCTCTCCTTATCTCCCTGAAAAAACCGGGGGGCGGGAGAGGGGGGGAAGACTTTTACTTCATTTTCTGATAAAGCAGGATCAAAGAAACTTCAGGTAAACCACAGTATTAGAGATCTCTGTCAAAAACTACTGATAAATTGAGAAGCCACTGGTAACAATAGAAAAGATCGAAAAATCGTATGAATTGAAGCACTACTGAATAATGTGGTAGCTTGAAAATTCCTTTGAAGCTATATAATCATTCAATTACTAATAGGACTAAAAACTACAATAAACAATAACTGCTATGTTTTAGCTCTTGTTGGAATTATATTCTAACTGAATCGTTACTCTTCAGGAATATGACTGTTTATATAGTCACTACAGTGAACTCTTCAAAAAAAAAAAGTCACCAGGGCCGGGTCAATAGTACAATGGGGAGGGTGTTTGCCTTGCACATGGCTGACCCGAGTTCAATCACTGGTATCCCATATGGTCCCCCGAACACTGCTAGGAGAAATTCCTGAGTGCAGAGCCAGGAGTAACTCCAGCACCACTGGGTGTGACCCAAAAAGAAAAAAAAAAAAAAGCACCAGCTTACAATGACCACTGCCATTTTATTATGCCATACTTTCACACAGATATAACGGAGATGAGGAAAATTTTGTTTTTTGTCTTTATTCTTCTGTATGTGTGAAAATGACCATGCCAGAATTTGACTTCATTTATTTAAATTTCAAATTTAAAAACAATACCTGGAAAACAGCATGAGAACGAGAAGATGTAGCATTCATATCTGTAGGATGTTGTGTTCTGTTTTTGTTTCCGTTATCCAGTAGCTGTAAAATTTCCTCTGAAGATTTAGGCTAGAGAAATTTAAGTAGAAGAAAATACACGAATTAGCTATTTATCTGTAACATTTTAGTATGATCAGTGGATAAAAGGTATTTAATAGCAAGATAAAAGGTAAAAAAGTACATTTTATAAATCAGTTCCATTATATGTTGACTGTACATCAGTTAACCATTGCATGAGAAATAAAAACATTTTCTAAGAAAATACTTAGAAAACATGATATCAAACGTTGAAATAGGTCTCTGAAAGAAAAGCTTCTTATTTTCAAATAAAACAGAGAAAGACTAAAGATAAATGCTCATTTAACTGTACTTTATGAATCTTTTTCTCAAGCACAATGAAAAATTAGTAAATAGCTAAAGGAAATCACTAAAGAACTGCAGCTACAACTCAAACAAGATTAACAGAATTTGTCAACATACCTGGTGTAAAGTCAAACCCTGAACAACCACCCCTTTCTGGGCATCTTCCCGGACTGCAAGTGGTCCTGAATTTACTAAGAGGTCACGAATCTGTTCATTATATACCTTAAAATAAAAGAAACTAATTTAGTGTTTATGTCAAAACAATAGAGATAACACCAAGCCTAGCATTAAATCATGGATGTCTGGTCTGAGGCTATATGAAAATTAAGATGAGAACAGGGCTGGAGAAATAGTTTAAGGGTTAAGAGTCTTGCTTTACAAATGGCAGACCCTGGTTTGATCTCCATTATCACACATGGTTTCAGGAGAATTCTTAGCACAGAATAAGGAGTAAGTCCGGAGGACTGCTAGGCATGGCCTCCAAATATGAAGTGTTATCCTGAGTCATTTTCCTCACCCTTTCTATCTCATTGTCATTTGTTTTTGCCTTTTGTTTTTCTACCATTTGATTACTTAGGCTCAAATCTGAAATTTAAAATCTGAGACGTTATTCTCTTATTCCATCATTCCTAACTTGATGAGTACAGTGAAACATGTACCAAGATTAGTGTTTTTCAATTTTCTGGAAATAGAAAACAGGACACATGGGCTGGGAAATGCTAATGGACCTGGAACATATTTTAAGTGGCGGTATCATGATTCATACTAGAGGAGATGTTTATTGTTTTATAATTGGCAATGTTCCAAACATTTTAGTCTTAGTGCTTAGAAGTTAAATTAAATCTAGGATTAAGAAGTATAGTCGAAGTGACATCTGCACTTGTTTTTTCATTGCAGCACTCTTTACAATAGCTAGAATCTGGAAAAAACCCGAGTGCCCGATAACAGATGACTGGTTAAAGAAACTTTGGTACATCTACACAATGGAGTACTATGTAGCTGTTAGAAAAGATGAAGTCATGAAATTTACATACAAGAGGTACTACATGGAAAGTATCATGCTAAGTGATATGAGTCAGAAAGAGAGGGAAAGACACAGAAAGATTGCATTCATCTGGGGAACATAAAGTAACAAAATAGGAGACTAACACCCAAGAACAGCCGAGATAAGTACCAGGAAGTGCACTCCATGGCTTGGAGGCCAGCCACACATGCTAGGGGAAAGGACAGCTCAGATTGAGAAGGGAGCACCAAATAAAGGGTGTTGGGAGGATCCCTCCCAGGATAGGATATGCATGCTGAAAGCAGACTACAGACCAAACATGATTGCCACTCAATGCCTCTTTTGCAAACCACAGCACCCAAAAGGAGAGAGAGAACAAAAGGGAATGCCCTGCCACAGAGACAAAGTGGGATGGGGGTTTGGGGGTGGGAGGGATACTGGGATCAGTGGTGGTGGAAAATGGGCACTGGTGGAGGGATGGGTACTCAATCATTGTATAACTGAAACCCAAGCACAAAAATTTCCAAGTCTACAACTGTACCTCGGGGCTGGAGCAATAGCACAGCGGGTAGGGCGTTTGCCTTGCACGCGGCCAACCCAGGTTCTATTCCCATCATCCCATATGGTCCCCTGAGCACCCAAAAAGCAAACAAACAAACAAACAAACAAAAAAAAACAAACAAAAACAAAACACAACTGTACCTCATGGTGTTTTACTAATTAAAAAAAAAAAAAGAATGGCCTTGGGGCTGGCGAGATAGTACAGCGGGTAGGGGTAGGGTATTTGCCTTGCACGAAGACCCAGATTCAATCCCTAGCATTTCATAGGGTCCCTAAGCACCTCCAAGAGTAACGCCTGAGCATTGCCAAATATAGCCATCTCCTATCCCAAATATCCTCAAAAACCAAAATTAAAAAATGATTGCTTTTATACTTCACTTACATTAACCTGCATTTATTTACTTATTTTCTTAATAACTCACAGATTCAATGCTCTAACTCCAAATCCACCCCCTCCAAGTCACCATCCCCCTACCAATGACCCAAGGTTTCCTACTCTCCCCCCTCCACCTCTAAGCTTAGCAAACTCATATCAAATGTGTTTTGCTTTTTATAAATTTACTTACTCCATTTTGGGTCATGTGTTTGTACAAAACTACTATTAACATGTAACTCTTTTATTTTTCAGTCTGGGGATCACATTTCATGGTGCCCAGGGCTTATTTTGATTATACTCAGGGATTATTCCTTGCAGAGGCCTTGGAGAGTGATGGAACCAACAGGTTGGTCATGTGCAAGGCAAGTACCTTAGTTGCTGTATCATTTTTCCAAACCCATAACATGGAGTCTGTAATGATAATTTCTCTACTGGGATTATCCTCCTACTCATATTCAAAATGAGGGGAATTTAGGGCCTAAGAAGTTAAGTGAATGTTTTTCTTGGTGACTAAGGGAATACTGGCTCTGCACTCAGAAATTACTCTTGGCAGAGCGCAGAGAACCATATGGGATACTGGGGATTGAAGCCAGGTTGGCCGCGTGCAAGGCAAGTACCTTACCCACTATACTATCACTCTAGCCTCACATCCATATACTTTTGCCTTTATTAACAGCACTGCACTGTAGCACTGTCCTGTTGTTCATCGATTTTCTCGAGTGGGCACCAGTAATATCTCCATTGTGAGACTTCTTGTTACTGTTTTTCGCATATCCAATATGTCATGGGTAGCCTGCCAGGCTTACATAGGTATACATAGTATTACTGAGCTCACGCTCTAAAGTGGTTAAAAGTACTGCCTACAACTTGACAAAAAAAAAAAAAGATGAGCCATTTTTTAACAGTAAGATTGAAGGCAGAGTCTCCTGCCCCCTCGCTTGGCTGTCCTCATTTGGGGCCCCTTAGAGGGGGGTGGTTTGAGCCCCCCCCCCACCCCGCCCCGAGCAGAGCCCCAGCAGCCGAGGACCTCCGGAGCAAGCCATGGCCATGCTGGGACCACTCTCCACACGTCCGGACGGGCCTCACACATGAAAGATCTGGCAGAGGAACCCAGGCATGCGGGTCCCGGGGCTGAGATCTACAAACCTGCTCGGATTGGGACTGGGCCTTCTCCACCCAGACCCCATTTTCCAGTAGATAGGTGTCACACCCACCAGCTGCTGCCAGCGCCAGGTTGGTCTCATCAATGGCCAAGACGCAGAGACTGTAAAACCCAGCTCCTGGAAGCACGCGGCCGCATTTGCGGCTGTGCAACATCTTACTTTTTAAATCCTCTGGAGAACCTGGCATGCTACCAAAAGTATCCTGCCTGCACGGCAGAGTCTGGCAAACTTCCCGTGTCGTACTCAATATGCCAAATACCATTAACAATGATGGGTCTCATTCTCCTAATTCTCCTGAAAGAGCATTGAAATGGCTCTTTTAAAATCTCAGGGCTAGGAAGGAGACATTACTGATGCCTGCTAGAGGAAATCGACGAACAACAGGATGATCGTGATCGTGAAGATTGAAAATTATAAAATGAGGGCCTGGGCAGAGATTACTACAGGTAAGGCACTTGCCTTGCACTCGGCCAACCTGCAGTCTATCTCCTGCACAAAATATGGTTGCCCTGAGGCACTGCCAGGAGTGATTTCTGAACACCAGCGCACAGTGCTACCACTCACCCGTCCATAATCCTTCAGCCTCAAATTTTAAAGCAATACCAAAAACAAACAAAAAAAGGTCTTAAGAATGATTTTATGTAAGATATTTCCATCTTATCATACATAGCTCAGTTAAAAATATTGGTATAATTTTCTACTATGAATAAACAATTTTTAAATGTAATTAGATCTTAAAAGCAGAACAATGATAAAGAGCTGATTTTAACATTTTTATTTATCTGATAATCAGCAGTCTTTTCTATCAATTCTCCTTATTTATTTCAACAAAAATGCAGAATTAGAACAATTATTCTCAAGCAGGTATAAGTATCAGAATCATCTGACTAGTCTTAAAAAACATAGATGCCTCAGTGGTCAAAATCCAGATTAAGGAAAAATGTTGAGGAAATAAGCTTAAACATGTACATTTTAAAAAAGCTACACAATTGAAAAAGTTACACAGTTCTGCTCTATGGTCTGGCTAGGAAACCATTAGATCAAATAGCACTTTACTATTAATAAAATTCAGTAGAGATTAAAATAAAATCAACAATTATTAAAATAACTTCAAAATTCTTCAGTTGCAATATAAAGATCTAAAAAAAAGCAGTAAATACTGTGAAACATTTTCCTAAATCATTTCAGAATTCTTTTTTGAAATTATTTCATTGTTATAATAAAACTGTTAATGTATTTGAATTCTTTTTTTTTTCTTTTTGGGTCACACCTGGCGATGCACAGGGGTTACTCCTGGGTCTTCACTCAGGAATTACTCCTGGCGGTGCTCAGGGAATCATATGGGATGCTGGGAATCGAATCCGGGTTGGCTGCATGCAAAGCAAATGCCCTACTCGCTGTGCTATTGCTTCAGCCCCTGTATTTGAATTCCTAATTCAAAATTATAATGTAGCAAAGGGCTGGTGTGATAGCATAGCGGGTAGGGGGCGTTTGCCTTGCACGTGGCCGACCCGGGTTTGATTCCTCCACCTGGCAAGAGAGCCTGGCAAGCTACTGAGAGTATTCCGCCCGCACAGCAAAAGGCTAGAAAGCTACCCTTGATATATTTGATATGACAAAAACAGTAACAAGTCTCACAGGGGAGACATTGCTGGTGCCCGCTTGAGCAAATCGATGAACAACGGGAGGACAGTGATGGTGATAATATAGCAAAATTACATTGCTGCTATAGAACAGTACTTTTCTTTTTCACTCCTAGTCCTATAGACTAATCAGAAAAAAAATTATAGCAACATAATCTTATTAAAGAAATGTGAAGAAAGTCTCAGTAGAACCAAGCCCTATGATATCAACAAAAGAGCACTAGTAACTGAACATTTTCTAACATCACAAATAAAGGCATGGGGCTGGAGCAATAGTAGAGCAGGTAGGGCATTTGCCTTGGACGTGGCCAACCTGGGTTCAATTCCCAGCATTCCATATGGCCCCCTGAGCACTGCCAGGAGTAATTCCTGAGTGCAGAGCCGAGAGTAACCCCTGAGCAATGCTGGTGTAACCCAAAAACCAAAACCAAAAAAAACAAACAAAAAAAAAACCCCACCAAGCCAAAAATCCCCACAAATAAATAAGCATAAAATCAGGGATTTATGGTTTTTAATAGTTTTTGGAACATTATTAAATGCAAAGTTAAAATGTCAGCTCTATTTGTTGAATTAGTAGCTATTATTTCTCAAGTCAAAAAAAAATTGTATTTTTGCCTCTGCTAACTATTATTAAGAGTGGAGCTCTCTTCCCATTTGACCCAGCAATACCACTCCTGGGAATATATCCCAGAGAGGCAAAAATGTATAGTCGAAGTGACATCTGCACTTGTTTGTTCATTGCAGCACTCTTTACAATAGCCAGAAACTGGAAGAAACCTGAATGCCCAAGAACAGATGACTGGTTAAAGAAACTTTGGTACATCTACACAATGGAGTACTATGTAGCTGTTAGAAAAGATGAAGTCATGAAATTTACATACAAGTGGTACAACATGGAAAGTATCATGCTAAGCGAAATGAGTCAGAAAGAGAGGGACAGACATAGAAAGATTGCATTCATCTGGGGAATATAAAGTAACAAAATATGAGATTAATACCCAAGAATAGCTGAGATCAGCACCAGGAGGATTACTCCATAGCTTAGTGGCCAGTCGGGCATTCTAGAGGAAAGGGCAGCTCAGATAGAGAAGGGAGCACCAAATAAAGGGTGTTTGGAGGATCCTCCCAGGAGGGGAGATGCATGTTGAAAGTAGACTATGGACTGAACATGTTTGCCACTCAATGCCTCTTTTGCAGACCACAACACCCAAAAGGAGAGAGAGAACACAGGGGATTGCCCTGCCACAGAGGCAGGGGGGGGGATGGGGGGATAGGGGTGGGGGGGATATTATCCATGGTGGTGGAAAATGGGCACTGGTGGAGGATGGGTATCTAATCATTGTATAAACCCAAGCACAAAAAAATTGTAAATCTACAACTGTACCTCATGGTGTTTCACTAATAAAAAAAAAAATTTAAAAAAAATAAACAACAACAAAAAAAGAGTGGAACTCTCAAAGAAAGATAACAGATGTCAAAAGGATAAAGACATCATGAAGTAACCTTGACTGACCAAATTTGGGTATACTAATAATTCCAAAAATATATTACAATATATTTCACATAAGCATCTGTGAGATCATATCAATAAATCTCTCCCACATTATAGAAAGCCAATGGATAACTGAGAATAAATGATGAAAGGCGTCATTATCATTTTAGTTTTTACACAATGATCGTTGATTTAGGCATGAACATTCTAAGTATAGGAGGCTAAGTAGTGTTTTCCCAGAAAGTAGTTAATTATAAAGTGCATCTTCATTGTGGAGAAAGTATCTCATGTGAGAACTTAAAGATACAGTTAGGGGCCTGAACAAATGTACAGTAAGTAGGGTTCTTGCCTTGCAAATGGCAGAACAGAGTTAGATTTCTGGTACCACATATGGTCCCTTGATGACAGTCAGAAGTGATCCTTGCCCCAAAACAAAACCAAAACAAAAATTTTTATACACACCAAGGTAGCAACAAAGGACAATGACAATACCACAAAACTGGGTTTGTATGTGTGGATGTGTGGGAGGTTTTGAAAGGGAAAAGATTTGTGGCCCTTGGGGGAGAAAGGTAGGCACATTGGTGATGAGTATGTTGATGGAATTATATACAAGGGAAACCATTGCTAACAGTACTGTACATCATAGAACCTCTTTTTTAAAGCAAAAAGAAAAAGTTTGCAGATACTGGCATAAAAAAGTTAATCTAAACACAGTAATAAAAGAACCTACTTAAATCTCTTATTATGCAAAATAACCAAAACTCACTTCTGGAGTGTTCTTATTAATGCACTGATTATATCGAATTATGAGAAACCTAAATTAAGAACTTCATGGATTATCCAAAATGCAAAGAAAGAAAAAAATCCAGATTAAGAAGAAAAAAAGAGATGTCAAAAAAATGCAATCCTTGATATTAGATTTTTTTGAAAAATAAAGGTCATTTACAGAATGACAAAATCTGATTAAGGGCTTTAGTCTGGTGGTAGTATTGTATCACCATTAATTTTCTGATTTTTATTAACTATTCAGGGATTACATAAGAACATATTCTGTTCTTTTTGCTAGTCTGTACCTTGAGTAGTTTAGGAAAAAATAAATCTATGTACAAATGTACAAAGAGGAAAACCAAAAAAAAGAATAAAATTCTAACATAGGAATCATGATGAAAATTTGGAAGGCATTTTTATAATCCTTGCTACTTTTCAACAAGTCAAAAATTATGCCAAAATAAAATACTTAAAAGAAAGAGTAAGACAGATGACAAATACTTAGGGAATTTTTTAACATATAAACTCATGAAAAAAAAAAATCCTACATGAAAACCTGGAGCATGGATTTTTCTTAAAGAAACACTTCTTAGTAATACTGATTAATATTGCCAACTTACCTCCAGATAAGAAACTGCAGTACTACATACTTTCTCTTCTTTAATCTCATCCATGGATTTGTAAAGATCTAACATTGTGAGGTACATCACTCCAGGTTCTGCAGCAGAGCCTAGCATCGTGTGGGTCTTCCCAGCTCCAGTAGCACCATATGCAAGGACTGAAATTTAATGATAAAGGCATTAAAATTCTTTTTTATGATTTACAATATCACCATATACACTACCTAATGAATAGTCCTCTTTGGACTGCATAAATAGTAATTTCAAGCCCAATGTATCTAAACTTAATTAGACGTCCTTAACACCTGGCTAGTTTAGAAATCTATTCTCATTTCTATACTGTGTTCCAATTCAAGATTTTCTCAGCTACCTCACCCTGTCCTGTTCCCTTTCTTCTATAGCATGTTTACAAATTTTAATAAGTCAAGTTACCAATCTCTCTACTACTTGGTCTCTTGTCTTTAACCAGTTAGCACCTATATAGTTATTCATTTTGGGAGCGTGCTGTAGGGGAGGAGGTTTTGAACCACAGCAGCTGTGCTCAGGAATCATTCCTGGGGGTGATAAACTATGTCAGGGACTGAACCAGGATCAGCACGTCAAAGGCAAATACTTCACCCCTGGACTTTCTCTCAAGCCCCAGAACCTGAATAGTTATTTATTTATTAAAAAAAAAAAACCCAAATGAGAAAGTACAAATTCCTCATGTTGGAATATTAAGTACCATAAAAAGAAAGGATACGTACTTATCTGTCCAGTCAGTTACAGAAGACTATTTCTTCATAGTTGGCATGCTGGATATATTAGATTTTAGCTTCTTAAACTGTAGACTAAATCTATAGTTCAAGTGCTTTAAAATAAATTATCACTTATTATAAACAAGTATTTTATATACCTCAATACCTAGGGTTGCACAAAAATGTCTTGGCTACAAAGAGGTCAAATGTGGAAAAAACTGAAGTCCTGCACTAGATTATCTGAAGTTATCCCCATGTTGTTTCATTCTACTCCGCTGCATTTGTCCTGGAAAGTCCAGCTGCTTACACCAGCTAGAAGACATACATCTGCTCTATATATCAGTATAAAAGCCACCTCCCCTGTCTTAGGCAGAAGTCTTTATCCACAATTGAACCCTCAATACATGACACATTCCTCTATTCTAGCATGCATCACACTCTATAGACAACTGTAAATTTCAATAAGGGAGAGGTCGTGTATCTTTGAAACCTATGAAATCCTTGAGGACAAAGGAGGCATAGTCAATGCAAGTTTACTTGAATGAATGAATGCCTGCTAGAAACCACCAACATAATACAAACTATAGTAATTTAAATGCCCTAATATCACTGAACTAACTATCTCTTATTTCTTTCTAGGAAGTAAATAGACCTTCCTCAAAGACAAATTTTAGGTTTCTCCAGAAGACTAGAGCTGCTTTTGAAGTTGAAGATATGCTACAGTAACAGATGTAACTCTATCTCGCTTTTATTTTTATTTTTTTGGACCAAACCTGGCAGAGCTCAGGGATCATTCCTGGTGGTGCTGAGGTACTACATATGGTACCAGGGACTGAACCTGGGTTCAGTCTGTGGAAGGCAAGCGGCTTAGTCCCTGTACTACTTTTTTTTTGCCCCACACTAGTTTTAATGTTTTCATTTCAAGGTAAAGAAAAACTTACATACACTGCCAAATGTTCAGAAACGTCCTATTATTCCACGAGGGCTGGCAGTTGTATATATAACAGGTAGAAGCTTTACAAAGTTAATTTGTGAAAAATCTAACATCAAAAGCAAGATAGTTTAATAATCAGGGAACTGAGAAAAATAACTGAATATAACATAATGACAATTACAAAGGTCTACAATTACTATGAAAGTTAACCGAGTTTAACTTTCAGCAAGCAAGCACTTTAAACTTGATTATATTAAGAATAGTCAGATGTTCCTTCTAATGCAAAACTGAAATCAGATATAAAACTTACACCCAAATAAATTAATTACCTGTGCAATTATATCCATTCAAAAAACTTCGAAGAATTGGCTTAGTAGTGTTTTCAAAAACTTCCAACTGAGTTGAAGTTTCATCAAAAACAGCATCAAAGACAAACTTAAGATCCTTATTTTGTCTTTTTGTTGTATCTCGATTAATAATTTTCTTGCCATGAAAAAAACTGATTTCTTCTTGTTTGGGATCAAACACTAGGATATGCTTATCTACAACATGGACCACTTTATGAAATCCAACTGCCTTTTCTTTTGTGTTTTCAGGACGCACACGAACTACAACCTTCATGTGGTGACACAGGTCTTCCTCAGTGACGGACATTGTTTTTCTTGATTCCTCCGTTCAGATGAATGCCCAAATAATTCTTTAAAATTAAAAAGGAAAAATGGAATATAATATTCATTTGTGTACAAAATGAATAGCATGAATAATTAAAAAGGTGCAAATTCTGTTCAACTCCTACATTACTAGAAACACACACACACATAATATATCTACGTATAAATGGTATATTTAGAGAAAATATTTCATTCTTTGGTTTAAAACCTTCTAATGGTTATGAGCTTTATTTGAAGAACAAGTTCCAAGTTCTTTAGATCATCAGCATTTTCAGCTGGTTCCTTACTGCTTTTCCTTTTCCTCATTCCAAATCAGCCAGCAAACCAAACAATCCTTCAAAATCTTCCTACCAGCCATTTTTCTTCACCGCAAGGTGTTTCCCACTATATGTGCATGACTCTTTAACTTCTTTTAAGTCCTTGATCAAATATTGCCCTCTTGCCCACCCTAATGAAAACTGCCAACCTGGGCTAGAAAGAATTCAATGGGCTTGAGCTCGTGTTTTGCCTGCAGAGGTCCAAGCTCCATCCCTGGCACTGCAGGGTCCCTTGATGACTGCTAGATACAACGCAAAAGCACAGAGCCAGGAGTAGCTACTGAGTATGTCTGGGTGTGGCCTAAAAACAAAAATATTAAATACAATCGTCAATCCAAGTATTCTAAATTCCTAATCACTTTAAATTCTTTTTCTCCTTTCCTAAAAGCACATATTTTTGAATAAAATATATAATTTTACTGTTTTGTTTACTATGTACTTTCTCTTCTACTTAATCTTAAGTGTATAACTTAAAAATGATCTGGTTAAAACTAGAAACTCTCTAATTAATAGTAGTGTGAATCATGGTACTTCAAATAAGACCCTGACACTGACAAAATAACTGAAGCTGCCAATGTGGTTGGCTGTGGGCATGAAAGATTCTATGGATAATGATAAAGGACTACTGACACTCACTCTGGTGGTAGGTATGGTATGACATCTCTAAAACATAAACATTCACACTACTGTCAACAATGTTACTTCAGTTCTTTATTTTTAAAATACTATACTGTTTTGCGGATTTATATGTTCCAAGATCCTAGAAGTACCCGACACACAGAAGACAATTTGTATTTGGAGGGAAAAAAAAATGAACACTGAAAAAATTTTGTTGGCTTTCCTGGTCTTAACTTTAGTATTCTAGAGAATTTTCTAGATAGTTGAGTCTCCTCAATTTATTGATCTTTACCAGTCTATTTTTTTCTTGCTTATACAGGAATGATAGCTTTAACATTTTAAAGCAGCTATTATTGATGCTTTCTAAGCTTGCATTATAGAACAGAGATTAGGATCAATATTCAAGACTCAAAGATTAGGATCTGATTAAGCTATTGCTGTATAACATCTCTACCACATTTATGCCTGGGCTAGTTAACTGTTGACTGGACCTACTGAGATTGAAGAAACAGTGGGGGACAAAACAGGACTTGATCAAGTGTTCAGTTACGGTCAACACAAACTGGGAATTTTATTAGACATCCAAGTAAAGATATCGAAGCACTTTTTAAAATCTTCAAAATAACATTAAAAATCTTGGCAAACCCTTCAAGCAAGGAGAAACTGATCAATTAAGTCAAACATGAATGGAAGAAGACTCAAGAGAATGAATCTACCCTGTGTAAGGACACTTTTAACTGGTGTGGTCCAAGTTTCACAGTCCTGAGATTCTAGTTGGCCTAGCCACCCCTCACTGTTGAGACAAAGCAAGTTGGTGATACCAGAAAGGTATCTGCTACCCCTTTAATGTTAGAGGCAATACAGTGGGGGATGCAGTATCCAAATGTCTGTACCAAATCACTGCGACTTAATGTTGCATCATATTGGTTCAGTTTTAAGCTTGTGTAACAGAAAAAAAAAATTACAGAATGAATCCAGCAGTGACACTGCAAAAGTGAGCAAAGAAATGACGTGTGTACAAGTGTCAAGAAAGGTACAATAAAGGTAAATATATCATGAAATCACATACTTTTGGATCCATAGAAAGCCCAAGCAACCTAAAAGCAGAAGACACTTCACAGAGCACACTGTTTTGCAGACTCTGTCCTACCCTAAAAGTAGTACACTGAGTCAAAGAGAAGGTCATTTCAATTCTTAAAGGCATGACCCAGATGAATTACTGCTCTTCTCTTCATCCGGTGCTTTGTGTCTAAGCCCCACAAAGCATCTATACACTGTAGACCTATGACCTTGGATAAGTAAGTTACTTACCCTCACTGAAATGGTTTTCTCATTTTGTATAAAAGTGGTAAAACTTCACAGCACTGCTGTGAAGGCTGAGACAATAAATATTCCGTTTTTAAGGTATTCAATAAATGTCACTTTTCTTCCCATCAACTCCAAATCTTATCAAAAGAATGCTGCTTCTTAACAAAAATACTTGCCCTGTTTGTGTGCTTCCTGGGCTGAACACTGACACTTCAGGTAGGACATTCTTTATTGGAAGTGTTCCAAGTTTCAGAGGATGTTCAGCATTTTCGGACCTTTGTCTAAAGGCTAGGAATGCATTACATTTTTAAATATCAAAAACTAACTGCTGCTGTCCTATGAAAGTTTCAGAAATGTTTGACAGTGCTTCGACTTTTATTGATATGCTTTGTTTCAATTATATATATACATAATACATATACATATATATAAAATCACAAATGATTGTCACTGTCACTGTCCTCCCACTGTTCATCGATTTGCTCGAGTGGGCCAAGTAACATTATGAGACTCATTGTTACTGTGTTTGGCATATCGAATATGTCATGGGTAGCTTGCCAGGCTTTGCCAAGCGGGTGAGGTACTCTCGGTAGCTTGCCAGGCTCTCCACGAGAGGTGGAGGAATCAAACTCAGTAGGCTGGATAATTTTTCACTGTCACTGTCCTCCCGTTGTTCGTTGATTTGCTCGAGCGGGCCCAGTAACATCTCCATTGGGAGACTTCGTTGTTACTGTGTTTGGCATATCGAATACGTCACGGGGAGCTTGCCAGGCTCTGCCGTGCGGGCGAGATACTCTCGGTAGCTTGCCGGGCTGTCCGAGAGGGGCGGAGGAATCGAACTCAGGTTGGCCATGTTGGCTGAGTACAAGGCAAATGCCCTACCTGCTGTGCTATCGTTCCAGCCCATTATAGAGTTTAAAGTATAAAATAAAGTGTGTGTCAGGGCAGAGTGATTACAGTAGGCAGGGTACTTCCTTGCACATGATTGACCCAGGTTCCATCCCCAGCACCCAATATGGTCCCCCAAGCCCAAAAGAGTGAAACCTGAGTGCAGAGCCAGGAATAATTTTCGAGCACCACCTGGTGTGGTCCCCAAACAAAAGAAAACAAAAGTGGGGATTATCTATATTTCAAGAGATGCCTGGCAAAATACACACTACACAAGTTTGACATTATTGCTAAACACAGTAAAGAACGTAGTAATAACATGGTGACAAACACAGAAAGGTTTAACTGAGAAGTGCTATAAAATACTATGCCAGACTATAAAGATATAATGGGGGATTCCTATAGATAGGTTCCTATGGGGAGTTACTGAAACCGAGAGCCGTAGGATGGATAGTCATTAATCAAGTCTCACATTCTTCTGGGTACTGAGATAAAGAGGATGAGGAGTGGGCTCTGACTGAGGGAATGATTGAGAAAACCTTGTATGATGGGATGACTTTCTAATAGAGATGTTAAGTGAGGAAATGAACAAGAAGGGGTTCTCTCGGCAGTCAGCATTTGAGCCCGGAAGCTGGTGGCAAACAGTTTCTGTAGAAGACAGATAAAGTGGCTGTGAGGTTAATTTGCTATATCACATTCTTTAGTTGTTTAGCTTTAGATGAATGATCTATTTTTATGTGCAGTATCTAAAGACATGCTCAAGCTCTGGGACCTGTAGAGAATAGGGAAGGGAGAGTATTGCATTATAAGATAAAAGCAGTTAAGAGTGAGGTCTGAAAAAAAGGGGAGGCCTGATTTAATAGATTTTGAATACAAGACTATGGAATTTAGATTTGATTTTGAAGTTCACTGAAAAGTAATGAAGATATTTTATAGGGTGATAGGTCTTATTCAAGTAATTTAGCAACAACTAAAACTTTATTATATAACTTTTAACAGCCTTTAAGACATCAATCTAACTGTGGTATCAAGAGCTGTTCCAGAAGTAACTGGGATTCAAATGATGGGGACTGGGAATGTGGGAGTGTTGAGGATCAAATCTGTGACCTTATGTGTAGAAACTAGGTCCCTACCACTGAGCTATATCTTTAGGTCTCTCTCTCTCTCTCTCTCTCTCTCTCTCTCTCTCTCTCTCTCTCTCCCTCCTCTCTCTCCACTGGCAGTGCTTACTCTTGGCTCAGGGAACTATATGGGGTACCAGTGATTGAACTTTGGTGGGCCATTAGCAAGGTACGCAAGTGCCTTATCCACTGTATTATCTTTCCAGTCCACCAATCTTAATTTTTAAAGTATCATACGCTGTACTTTTACAAAAACAAATTAATAAGTTTTTGAGGATCGTCCATACTGTTTTCCAAAAGGGTTGGACCAGTTGGCATTTATCTGGGGAACAGAAAGTAATAAAATAGGAGACTAACACCCAAGAATACCCAAGATAAGTATCAGGATGATTACTTCATGGCTTAAGGGTTAGCCACACACGCTAGGGGAAAAGGCAGCTCAGATAAAGAAGGGAGCACCAAATAAAGGGCGTTGGAAAGTTCCTCTCAGGATGGGAGATGTGTGATGAAAGTAGACTATGGACTGAACATGATTGCTACTCAATGTCTCTTTTGCAAACCACAGAGAGAGATAATAAAAGGGAATGCACTGCCACAGAGGTAGAGTGGGATGGGGGGTGGGGGGTGGGAGGGATACTGGGATCAGTGGTGGTGGAGAATGGGCAAGATGGAGGGATGGGTATTCGATCATTGTATAACTGAAACCCAAGCACAAAAATTTGTAAGTCTACAACAGTACCTCATGGTGTTTCACTAATAAAAATTTAATGGAAAAAATGAATAATTTTAATATAAACTTATTAAAATGTAAAAATTTATCTATGTTGAAAGATACACATGCTTATGGTTGAGATTGTTCCTACATTAGTATGCCCTCTGCCTTTCTAACATGTCCATATAAAAGAGATGAAAATATAGATGATTCTGAGTAAGTGACAGGAAATCAAATTCTTTGACCATGTTTGCTGAAGTGGCAAAACAAAAGTCTAAATATTGTTATCTGTGCAGTGTGTTGATAAAAAATTCTTTCTGGATATTGTTAAGATGTTATCAAGGTTTCTGATCAACTTGTCATATTTACTAAGTGGTATTTGTTGAACAGAATGAAAAAAGCAAGCTGGCACAATTTTATTGGTAAAATTGGAACATTAATAAAGGGGGTAAAACTACTCTATCAATTAAGAAAGGAAGTATTTTATTTTCTGATATAACTCATTTTTCCTGCAATGTTTATTGAAGGTGTTAAAAAAAATCTTAATTCTCTTCAACAGATGCCAATCACTGTTTGCTGAAACTGGAATAAAATAGGTTTTCAAATTAAGCAAAATAAGTTAGAAAGAAAAGGATAATTTCATTATTTGAGGTATACAGAGAAACAAAACAATAGACTAGGTAGTATCAAATGATGATAAACCCTTGGCCCAGGATTACTTAACTGGAAATACTAAACAAGAAAGGGGATGATGAGGTAGATGATGAGGTAGACTGGAAGCAACAGGGGACATCGGTGGAGAGTGCAGGGCACATTAGTGGTAGTGAGGTGAGGAAGCGGTATACATCAAGACCATAAATGTTAACACTATCATAAACATGTGACTTAAACAATAATTAAATGAAAGGCTTCTTCTAATAAGTCAACAAAAATTTTTGTTAATTCATCAATTTTATGTACTGATACTATCTTCAGAAGCAATCATGCCCCCCACCAGCTCTAAACACTCCAGATTTCCTAGCATAAGAATGAAATTCAGGGGGCTTGAGAGAGAATGGTGCGTAAAGAGCTTGTGCTACATGCATTCATACAGTGTTGAGCTTGAATCTCACACAGCACATGGTGTCCCTGAGGATAGCCAGGAATCATCTCTGAGTACAGAGTCAGGAGGAAGCCCTGAACACAGACAACTATGGTCCATAACCCAGCCAAAAATAACCCAAAAACTTCCCAGATGTAAACTCCTTAGCATATATTGGGCACCCGTTTATCTCTTGGTTTATTAGTTTATCCCTTTCTTCAAATGTTATCCTTCCTTGATTAAGATACTTCAGTCACTCTATTTGGCTTAGTGTTCCCAAAACACAGGAGGCCTTGAGACTATTGCACTTTTTCTTCTCTTTGCCAATAAAGTTCTATCTGCGGATATTTACGACTCTTAATTCCCTACGTTCACTTTCACATCTGTTCAAATGTCACTCCATTGAAGTTTTCCCTAAGGATATTATCCAAATAGTTTCACTGACTTGGCCACTCCAATACTTCACCTGTTTAATGTTTCTTCTGAGCATTTAGATTAATTAGAAATTACATATTACTTATTTATTGTTTTTTTATATATTTATTGTTTTTTTCCTCTCTACAATAGTACTACCACAAAACAATATTCATTCTATATCCCAGAATCAAGAATGGTGCTGTCATCTATTAAGATCAATGCATACTTTTAGAGTAATGTACTAATCTGCCTTAGTTCAGCCATATATGAAAAAAACAAGTGCAGAATAATGGACGAGCATGCACTGTTTACATTTTTAAAAGCCAAACACATATTTGTTTATGCATATGCTCTCTTAGGAAGAGAATAGAAGGCAGTGTTAATACTAATTAGTCCATGATTGGGAAATACTAAAGTCTGGCTAACAAGCAGGCTTACTTTCTATTTTAAGTCTGTTTTGAATTTGAAGTATATCTAGGTTTTTGTGTTAATTTTTGGTCACAGCTGGCTATGCTCAGGGTTTACTCCTGGCTTTGCATTCAAGAATCACTCCTGGAGTACTTGGAGGATAATATATGATGCTACAGATAGAACTGGAGTCAGCTGATAGGTAAGCACCTTACCTGCTGTATTGTCACTCCAGTCCCTAGTCTAGATATTTTTATTTCAACAAAAGCAATTCCAATTTATCTTAAACTGAACCGTTAATTTTATGCAATATTATATGGAAAATTTGTATTCCACTATTAAACCAGAAATGCTTTAAGCAAATTTCAGTTGTTACTTAGTCCCAAATAACATTTTTCATTGCTATTTAAGGGAGAAACCACAGTCTACAGAGATAAAAGACTCAAGTCAGTTACTGGGAGCAGGAGATATGGAATTTGAATGAAGATGAACTGAGTAAATGAACGTGTGTGCATAAAAATCCTCAGGGCCTAATAAAAGAGCCACTTAAAGAATGCTAAAATAAAACGAAAAGTTCAGAATTTATCTATGCTTGTCGGAAAGGAATGCAATATCCATTCTCCACAAATATGCTACTGAGAACCCCTGGATTAGATGATTTGATGACTATTAACAGCAAACAATAACAATTATCATTTCAGTACACTTCATATGCCAAGAATGGTAAATATTTGACATTCATTGTTTAATTGGATATTTAAAAGTTGTATTACCAATCATATGCATAATCACATAATATTTATGACTTAAAATTATCATTTCCATTTTATAAAGAGACTTAGCAATAGAATAAATGATTTTTCCAAGATGACAGCCAGTAAGAGAGGAGTCATCATGTGAAGCCATGCAGATCCAATGTACATGTTCTTTGCCAAAATGCTGGACTAGCATCAGAACTGAATGTATCCACAGAGTATAAAAATTTTAAATAATTTATCTTGAACATCAATAAGTTATTTCTTAAATAGAAAGTCAAATCTGAATTAGTTCAGATACCACAAACATTTTCAAAGATTAGAAACTATGCACTAAGTGGAAATAACTTTAATACTGGAGTAACTGTTTCTTCAAACTTATGAGCACCAGGGATGAAAATTTCTGATGGAGAGAAAGGTGACACTGACAATTAGGTTACTCTTTCCTTTTAGTTTTAATAGAATTTATGATATTAAAGTAATTTTATTTTGTACCTTAATGGATTCAGGGCATGCTTATTAAGAAGCATTGCTAAAATGAAATTTTATTTACTTGTACATAGCATTCGAGATGGATCAATCCTACTATTAAAGATGAATAATCTTATTGATGGGTACCTGCCTTGCTTACAATAAACCTGGGTTTGATGCTAATACTACATCTGATCTCCTGAACATTTCCTGGAGTAAAGTGTAGCCAAATGTGGAACCCCACAGAAGGATATAATTCTTAATAAAACACTTTTTTTGAATGACAGAAACAGTAAAAGGCACTAGCAAGTCTTAGTAGTTAGTATCAACGTTCAGAACCCCCTCCCCACGCCCCCCAATCCAAGCAGAAGGTGCTGAATGCAAAGAAAAAGCACAATCGAAAGTTGTTGAGTGTTAACACATTTTGTTGAGTCTCTATTCTACAAAGAGAACTTACTAACAGGCAATAGTTAACAGCAAAACGAACAAACAAACAAAAAACCCCTAAACTGTTAAACTGAATTATTACCTTTTGGTCAAATAATCTCTTATAAACACAACAGTCAGTCTTAACCTGTCTGCGCCTGGTGTCCGAAGAGATTCTAGAGAAGAAAGAGTCTTGGACTGATTCTCTGCTTCCAGTCTCCTTTCATTTGCAGAACACATTGCTATGGACACTCTTTCCAGTCTCATCTGACCCTTGGCAATCTATTAGGCCCGGGTGGCAGGTCATCTTGATGTAACAATTGGGGCTCAGGGAAACTTGCTGACCCATCAGTGCCAGCCTCACAGCAGAACCTCTCCGACAAAAGCGTTTGTAAGTTCCCGGGCTTTCTCAAACGATAGTTTTACTTGACTATCTCGATCAGACAAAAAAAAACTCTCTAAAGTGGAGTCTAGTGGAGACACCTTGCAAGCTGCTTTTACAGTGAAAAAAGTGCACGGCCAAGGCCGAAGTCTGGGCAAGGGGCCAGGGTACCCTTTAAAACTTCCGACTTCCGCCAAACTTAAAATCCCCGTCTTCCGGCTCAACAAAAGAGGTGTGGGCCAGGCCAGGTGGATTCCCAATTCCCTGCTTCGTTACACTTCATCCCTAGGAAACGGAACCGACGCACCCGCTGCCCCCGACCCCCGCCAAGCTGGTGTTCGTTCGCAAGCCCACCTGCTCCTCGGCACTGGAATCGGCGGCACGCTTTCGTTTCCCGTACAAGTCATGAGCAGCAGCGCGCCGGAGGTCCAGGTTCCCCTCTCGGGGGTCGCCCACTCACCTCTGGCCCGGGAAACCCGACCGCCACACTTGCACTTACGAAGTCCGCCTCCCAGCGATTCAAACTCAGCTACGAGATTCAAACCCCAGCCAGCATTCTTAACGCCTCCTTTCATTGGCTGGCGTCTCCGTGACGTCATCGCGCCGGACGTTTCCGCGCCGAGCTGCAACGGGACGCCGGGAGACTTGGGCTAGCGGAGCGCGGTGGAGGCAGGGCTGGCGCCGCGTCGCCTAGGCAACGCGTAAGGCGGTTTCCGGAGGCTGGGGCCGAAGTGGGCGGGGCTAGACTGCAGCTGCAGGTGGGAGGCAGCCACCTGGGATCCTCAGGCCACCTCCGGACCCACAGGCGTTGTGCCGGGTCCCAGGGTTCAGGGAGTGAGTGAACTGGGTGTTCGCAGGGATTGGCTTGTTCCCTTTGCCAGCTGGGTGGGGGAGGCGGAGCCCGTTGGGTGTGGATTGATGGGCGCTGAGTGTTTCTTCTTTCCTCTAATGTATGCAGGCAAGGCCTCCAAGTCGCAGGGCACTTGCTGTATGGACAGTGTCAGGACCTTTTCATTTCAGCTATTTTAACTGGGGTCAGTCTGAGAGAAATTAGGCTCCATTCATGTCAATTCCAGGATTTGGGTTTGAGACATTAGGCCTTATTTCGCTGGACTCCCAGTCCTACTTCCTTTGGTGTTGATGGTGAAATTATTTGGTGTCTATTATATATTTTTCCCTTATTGCAAATAAACTCATTCAAAATTATCACCTTCGTTCAGTTTTGTAGTATTTTCTTCTTAAATATAGGTTGTAGGCATTATTTAGGGGTACTCTTTGAAAAGAACGAAATACTTGGAACAATGGGAAATAAATTTGCCAAGGTAATTCATCTTTAATTGACAGACTATTTTGTGATCTGAATTTCATTTGTATCATTACTCGTGCCTATTCATTCAGCAGTTATTGTTTATAGATTTTAGCGATATATTGGCCTAAAATTGAGCCAAAGTTCTGCATTCTTGGCAGTTTATAGTTTGGTGATTCAGTATCACCATATAAATAGGATGACACAAAATTAATACAGAATACTATTATAAAACAATTTGTGGATATTACTATGTTAGGAACATTTATTTTCTTTTGAAGACTAGATGTTGTTTATGATGCATTGTCTATGATTGTTTCTAAATTGGATTGGATTGATTGGATAGAGCACCAATAGCAGTGTTTTATTTGTGTGTATTTTGCTAATGCTATTAATTGATATTAATAATAATTTGGTTACATTAATTTCACTAAATTTTTTTGTGGTGATTTGGCAATAAAATTAAGAAATCTTTATATTTTAATGTGTATTTTTCCTTTGCTATCCTGGCAATTTATTAACTATGTTATTTAATTAAAATTAAAATAAAAAATTCATGAGATGTAGGTACTTTTTATTTTACTTGTGAGAGAATTTAGTGTTCAGAAAATTTATAACTATATTTTTCTTGTACAAAGCAGCCAATTCAGAATATTTTCATGTCTATAAAATATTTTTGAGTACAAGTGATATCAAGATAGTGTCTTAATCTAGCCTATAAATAGGCATATCTACTCATTTTCATATAACATTTGATTGATAATTTGTACAGAAATAAAAGAGTTTAAATTTTGCTTTTGACACATCCTCTAAGGCTTATAGATCTCAACGGTGTTTCCTCACTGAATCTATTTATTTTACATTTAGCTTTACTGTACACATTTAGCAGTGTTTGGGTGGCAAGATAAGATGTACACCATTAGAAGCTGGGGAGAAAGAGCACAGCAGGTGAGGAACTTTCTTGCATGCAGCCTATCTGCATTCAACTTCAGTGCCCAGAAACATGGCCTGAGGTAATCCTTAAGCATACAGCAAGGACTAAGTCCTGAGCACAGCCAAATGTGGTTCCATATACACATAAAATGGGTGTTTATCTCAAGAAATGGATATTGGGGCGGGAGAGATAGCACAGTGGGTTGGCTCTTGCCTTGCACCTGGCTGACCAGGGTTTGATCCCTGGTGGCATCCCATATGGTTCCTTGAGCACTGCCAGATTTGATTCCTGAGTTCAGAGCAAGGAGTAACCCCTGAACATCCATCTCTGGATGCGGTCCAAACAAAGTATAGTAAAAGCAATGAAATGTTAGTGTTAAAATCAATGGCATTTTTGTGCTGCCCCTCCTCCCCCTTTTTTTCAGTTCAGCAAGATGTTAAATAGCGTAACAGAAAATATAAGGGAGTGGATAAGGGAGTGGCTTATTTTCTAACAAAATGAAGGAAATAGAACCCCAAATATCTAAGCATGTGTAAGGAGACATAATTCCCTTCCCTCCCGCCTTTAAAAGAAATTGGCATTTATCTCGCCTGTTAATTTGGAAAACAGAAATTTAACACGAGGTCCATAGCAAGCTGAAAAGAGTACATACAGATAAGAACAAAACTGAAAGTTAGATTTCAACTTGCATCAGACACTGAAAAATTAAAAGTCGATTTCAACCTGGCAATTGCAGGGATTTGTTTACTTCCCCCAGGAACATCAGTTGGAAACTCCTGTGTTTGCAAAACATTTTAGTAGCTGGGGGCTGGAGGCGGCGGAACGAAAGGCACAGTCCTTGGTTGTGGGACGGACCCAGGTTCTTTCTGTCCGTCTTTGCAAGTTTCCCCCAGGTCTGGGACCCACATGTGCGGCAGAACTGGGTTCTGTCCCACTATGTTGGTCGTTGCTGGCGGAATTTAGAGGCCACCTGGAGTGTCTTGGAGCGCCAGGTGAGGAGCAGGTGGCCGAGTCCTATGAACTTTCTGGTAAACCCCAACTCACGCCTTTTGGGGAACCCCTAGGGGTAACTCATTCACCCAGAAAAAGGAAACACTGCTTTCCCTTCCCGATTCCCCGCCAAGTGTTCGTTTCAGACGTTTGCAAACAGTTTCCCTCCTGTTTCACTTTCTCTGCATTCCAGTGCCAAGTCACTGGGATGGGTTTTTGGATTTAGGAATTAAGTATACGAATTAGTTTTACCGGCAGGAAAGAAAGTAGGATCTGGTGGTAATTCTGTAGTTTGCAAATGAATTACTCACCCTGTGTACCTCCAGTTTCTTGGTCTCAATAACTCATAATGAACTTTGGAGACAGAGAAAAGCGTTCAAGGACTTAGGGAACCAGAGAGTTTCTTCTAGGTGCCTGATTTTCTGACTGCTTGCCTCTGTCCTAGTAACCCAGGGAACGTGTTTAAATCATTTGGGTTGGTTCTAAATCATTTGGGTTGGTTCTGGGAGCCCTGTGTTATCTGGTAGGAGATTGGACCCCAGTGACAAACCTCTTCGTTAGGGACCTATTTCAGAAAACAACCAAAGAGGAAATAATTATTGTCATTCTTTTCCCTGTTGACCCAAGTTTGTAGCCAGTTACTGCATAATATAATCTTTAGGCTTGTACCTTGAACACTTCAGTAAATAAATAAAAGTTGAATGCAGGAGAAATACAGGTCCTCTGACATTTAGCCATTTTTTTTTTCTATTAATTTACTTTGTTTTCCCTGTGTGGTTCCGAGTTCTATATTGAAATTTATGAGTACTTTTCGTCATTTGAGATATTAAAAGTATTAAAATATATATATTCTGTATAAAAGCACTATTTTTTTATTTTGTGTAGGTAATTTAAATACTTCAAATTCCACCATTTTAGGTTCACAGAGATGTGTTAACAGAAGAGTAGTTTCAACACATTTCTTGAACCAATTACAATGAAAAAAAATGCTTTCAGAAGGCTTTTGTTAATTGAATTTCAAAAATACATTTTCCTTTATATTTTAAGAGTTAGTTTACAAAAAAATATTCAAGTATTACTATGTCAAGGAGTATATAAATTACTTTTTTTTTTAATCTGGGGGAAACTACATATAGATAAATAAAACAAGATGAGTGTAAACAATATATGCTCAGTTGAATATTTATAAAATTATAATTAAATTGATTTGTGCAGCATTGATACAGGCCTTTGGTAAAGCAATCTTGTCAGAAAATATTCATGACCGATGTGCAAGATTTTGAGACTAATAAGCTCCCTTACTTTTCGGATGTTCATGCAATCTTTTTATAGGGATAATCTCTTAATGCAAAGTTAAATTGAAGATGTATATTTGGTATCATGAGACATATACAGAAACCCACATAAAGTTAACAGGGATACAAATAATCTCTTCAGACATACAAACAGCATAGTCAATAAAAATTTGAATATTCTTTAGACTTAATTAAAAATCAGACAAGCTTATTTTAGAAAAATGACGACTGAATAATAAACTTTACATCCTTTTAGAAAATGGTTTACAGCTTACTAGGCAATATTATAAATTAATATTTTCAAATAATTTCTGAAGTTTTTTTACATAAATTAATAACGTTTGCTTGTTTAAGATGATAAATCTTACTGTTTTGTTAGTTTGCTTTCCCTTAGGTATTGCCTTTTTAAAAAAAATTATGGCATTTCTAGAAAAAAAGTCTTAAGTCACATTATTGTATCTTTTTCTCCTAGATTTCTGATCTACAGGATGCTTCGATACCCATTTATTTGTAAAACCTATAAAGAATTTTTTTCATGCTGGACAGAATCTGCCATATTTTATTTAGGTGGCTGGCAAAGAAATATACATGCTACAGCAGGAAGATGCAATGAATCTGAAGGCCAGAAACAAACAGATCAAACTGGAGCTAGAGATTCTGAAGCTGTGACTCAATTGCATATTCCAGTAATGGTGGATGAAGTTGTTCGTTGTTTGGCACCACAAAAGGGACAGGTGAGTTGATGTTAAAAAAAAAAATTATAAAAATCGCAGTATAATTTAATTTATTATGAACGGAATTATTGAATTGATCATTTGAATAATTGTATTATTATTAATTGAATTATTAATTCAGTTATTCAATATTATTCAACATATAATAGAATATTAAAAATTAATCACAGTATTAAGTAAAATAAAATACAATTCATTTTTTAAGTATATTCACAAGGTTATACAAGCATCATCACTGTCTAGTTCACAAACGGCTTTATTTCCCAAAGAGGAACTCTTGTGATCACTAACATTCTCTTTCTATTGACCTCCTCCCCTTTCCTTTATTCCTGAAAACTATTGATTTTTTTCTCTCTCCTTGGAATTTCCTGTTCTGATGTTTTATGTACGTCCACTATTAATATGTGGCCTTTGTTTACTGCCTTTTACATGGTATGTTTTAAGATTTGTCCTTGTTGTAGCATGCATCTGTCAACATTCCTTTTTGTACTCAAGTCATTCCAATGTGTCGCTGTACCACTGTTTTTTAAAAATTCAGCAGTCAACATAAGGGCATTTATATTTCCACATTTTGACTATTGTGAAGTTGTGAATAATGCTACTATGAATAGTCATTGATTAGTTTTTGTGTTCGCATATGTAAACATTTTCAATTTTTTTATATGTACTTAGAAATGCAGCCTAAATTGGTATAAGAAAATGCTCTAAAATTTACAGAGAGATTACAAAACTGTTAACTTTCTGAAAATTAAGCACAATTATAAAATAAACCTTTATCTATGTTCATATGCATAAGATGTATTAGAATGGCTCATATAAAAGTCATTAGTGAGATGCCTATAAAAATATTTAGGGGAGAAGTAATTATAACAGACTAGACAATATATTTTGTATGTTTTGAGGCCCTGGCTTGATCTTCACCACTGCATTTTTCCTAGAGCAGCCTTGGAGTAAACTCTGAGCATGGAGCTGGTCGTATCCCCAAAGCACTACCTGATGTGGCCCCAAACACCCTCCAACCCTGAAAAAAGAACGATATTTTGGTTATTTTGTTCTCAGTATGTATATTTCTAATCAACAAATAAATCTAACACTACTCTATTTTTCTGTGATGCTGGGGATTAAATCAAGACTCGCACATGTTAGCCATGTGCTGTAGCACTGAGCTACATCACCAGCCTTCTATTCAGAATTATTTATTTTTAAAGTGAAGTACTTTGTTTAAAAAAAGGAGGGAGGGAAGAGGGAGAGAAAGAGAGGAAGAGTTCAAGTTCAAGAAAGAGGAATAACATGTTCAAGAATGTGAGCTCAGGAAAGGAGGAAGAAGAGGAAGGAGCAAGAAAAAGGAATAACATGTTCAAGAAAGAATGTGGGATCAGGGAAGAGAGGAGAGGAAGAGAGAGACTGGGAGAGAGGGAGAGAGAAAGAGAAGAGAGAGACAGAGGCAGAGATAGAGAGTGGAGTGAGAGAACACAAAAAGTCCAGACACACTTTTAAGAGAACTTGGGCTTCCCTATATAGAGACGTGTGATGGCTCACTGCCATCCATCACATAATAGGGATGCCAAAATTTTCATGAAAAGTAAGTTAAAAAATTAAATTGAATTGTTTCCTTTTAATTTCTGGAGATATAGTACAAGGGGAGAAGGCACTTGCCTTCCATCAGCTGACTCTGGTTTGATCCCCAATACTGCATATTATCTCTTGAGCACCCTACCTACATGAGTGGTCCATGGGCAATGAATCAGGAATAAGACCTGAGCATAGCTGAGTGTGGCCCAAGAACAACCATCCAAAAAAAAAAAGCAAAACCAAACCAAAAATCTCAAACGTCCAAATTTCCTGTTGAATATGATTACAAAATAAAGTTATTTTCTCTAAAGGCTGAAAATGCAAGGATCATAATACTCATACCCAAATGTGATTACAAAAAAAACTGTACATATATAATGTTTGTCAATATATATGGGTGAACAGGAGCAGGTCATTAAAAAGTGGAACTGAATTCAGTAACTCAAATATGACTTCCGGAATCAGTAACCAGATTTCATTCTATAAATTTGCTGAACTTGTTAGTAAAACCAAATAGATATTTTATTTATTTTTTGTATTTATTTATTTTGGGGGCTATACTCAGTATTGCTGTGGACTTTCTCCTAGCTCTGCACTTAAGGGTCACTACTGGTGGTTTAGGGGACTGTATGGCGTACTAGGAATAGAACGGAGGTCGATTGTATGAAAGGCAGTATGCCTTGCCTGAATACTATTGTTCTAGCCTAAAACCAAATGTTTATTTAGCATTAACTCATGAAGAAGAAAATTGATGAAGCACGAATTCCATGCAGATCTTCTTCTTTTTTGGTTTTTTTTTTTTTACTAAATTAGCGTTGTTTAAAAATCAAGTGAAGTAAAATTAGATTATTGTACAATTTGACCCATCTCACTATTTTATTCTGTTCGAGTTCCTGACAAATGCAATGTTCATTTAATTTGACATTTCTTTGTTCAACTTTGATTTGGGTTTTCTAGTAACTTTTTATTGAAAGTTTGATTTTTATAAATGTTATTTTTAAAAAGTTTTTTGTGTGGTACTCTTAGAGATGCTGTCATATCTTACCTTTCCTGCAGTCTGGCAGACAGCTTTATTTGCTGTTCCCTTAATCTTAAAGTAATAAAGAACTGGTGACAGTCCTTGGACAGGAAAGGTCTTCATTTCATTCAGAATCAATTATTTCCATCTTTTCTTCCTGAGTCTTTTCCCCAAAATCATTTTCCTTTGCAAACTATGAGTCATACAGTCACTTTTATCAATCACCCACTTAATTACTGTTTTTCACATTGACTTCAATGGTGGATTTACAAATGAATCTTTTGATCATAACAGGAACTTGAAAAAAAGTAGCTAAATGTAATTTCTTGTGAAGCCTTGAGAATTGAATAGTTGTTCCTTTTTCTTAAAATATAATCAGAGGTACTTACTGAAAATATTTTTTTGGGGGGTGGGAGTTGAGACCACACCCAGCAGTGCTCAGGACTTACTCCTGGCTCTGTGCTCAGGAATCACTCCTGGTGGTGGTCAGGGGATCATATGAGGTGCCAAGGATAAAACCCGGACCTACCTCATGCAAGGCAAACCCACTACTTGCCATATTCTCTTTTTATCACCCCATCACCCCCAAGAAGTTTTAGTTATTTTGTACTATAGTGTTTTTTTATATATATAACATTAAGTTATTTTGTAGGTACATTTAAAATATTTACCAGTTAGTATTAAACTTTTTTTTCCCTCTCCCCTCAGGTTTTAGACAGTGAATTAGATATATCATAACTGTTTATCTTGACCATTTTTTAAAAATTATTCTAAAAATGCTTTTCTTATTTCTGGAAATGTTTCAATGTAGGCTACCTTCATCAGTTTTTTAATTCTCAGTTTCTGGAATCAGGAGTAAATAAGCATGGTGCTTTCTAGATGAAGATGGTACTAGTTTTATTTTTGTTTTTTGTTTTTGGGCTTTGGACCATACCTGTCAGGGCTATTCCCAGCGTGATCCTTGGATTCACTCCTGTGGTGCTCAGAGGACCATATTTGGTCCTGGGGATTGAACTCTAGCCTCCTGTATCCAAGGCACACACTCTCCTGCTGAGCTCTCTGTCTGGTCCTGAAGGTGGTGTCCTCTGGAAGAAAGAAGATTTTTTTGTATTCATTGCCAAGTAGTAGTGCCTGTGGGCACTACTTGATGACTTGTGTTTCTATAAGAATGATCCGTTATGAGGAAGATGAGGAACAAGCTAGGACTAGAACCAGTAACGGTAGCGTTTTAAAAAAGGAACTCTCATGGTAGCAGAACTAATTCTGCATGCAAACGAGGAAATAAAATTCACTTCATCTGGCCAATGGGAAGATTAGACAGTTTACCACTGTAAATTGCTGAAAAATATTGTATCTTCCGTAGTATGAGAGCATGAAACATTAGCTGTTATCATCATAGGGATAGAAAAAGCTAGTTGGGTAGCTAGCAATGGTGGAAATAAAAGTTCCAACAAAAGTCTGATTAAATAATTAATTCCTTCTGAGGAGGGAATAGGTACAAAAGCTGGGAACATGACTAAACTGATTCAAATTCAGTTGAGGTATGTGAGATATAGCTGAGCAGTAGGGCGCTTATCTTGTGTGTGTGTGATGCCGGGTTTTTCCCTAACTGGCATGGCAGAAACAAGCCAAACGACCTCCGAGATAGATTATGATGGCAAATACCAGGTTAAGTGTATAAGATTGGTTTTATAAATATTTGAAATAAGTGTCAACTATTTCGGTAGTCTTAGATTTTAATATTAATTTTGTTTAAATTTGCATAAGTTGTCAAGGTATTATGTTGTCTTTATAAAGTAATTATGCCTTGTACAACATGCTGTTTTTTTAAACTTAGTTGTAGTATTTCAAGTGGAAATCTTTGTGATCTTTAATGGAGAGTAAATGTCAGAGAAATCCTAAGAAAACATGTTTGCTCTGTTTAAATATTGAAACTTTTTCTCAGGAAGGGGAAGTTTTATTTATTTATCTTCTAATTAAGTGTAAATCCTGCCCATATCATAAGCAACAGAATGAATGCCTCGGTTCATATTTGCAAACATACACACTTGCATACAACTATGTATATATGTATTAATATTAGAATTCCAGGTGGAGTGAATTTTGTCAAAAGTGGTACTTGTTTTTTTTTATTTTTTTAAATTAAAAATGTTTCTTTGAAACAATAAGTTTTACTTTGCATTATATTATTATTTGAAAACTTTTGTCATCAAACAAAAATTATATACTAAGTTACCTTTATCAAAATAACTTCTGAAATGTGGTATTTCTAATGCTGTGTTGGTAAATATTTTAACATCTGGGTTGGTACTGGAGCGATAGCACAGCGGAAGGGCATTTGCCTTGTGCATAGGCCAGTCCGGCTGGGCCGGGTTCGATTCCTTGGTCCCTCTCAGAGAGCCCGGCAAGC